GGTGTCACTATTGCTGCTGGGGTTCAGGGTCTTGTTCCAGCCCCTGCTGCTGGTAGAGCCAGTGTTGGGGGCCACAGTAGATCTGCCACTGGGGACTGAGTCACAGGTTCTGTGGTTCCCGAAGCCTCAGGTTGAAGGTGCCACCTGCCACTGCTTGGGGAGCGGCAGGGTCTAAGCTGTGAGTGTTGTTGCTAGTCCTGCAGCCTCTGGTCACTGGCATGCACCAGTGTGCTTTGAAACCTCAGGTCAGGGCACCCCACCCCAGCCGGGAAAGTCTGTGTTTTAGATGCTGACCCCACTGTTGGAAAGATTGGTGCTGCTGGGAGGGGAGAGGAGTGGAGTGGGCTGGGTCACCAGGCTACTCTGTGTCCTGCATCCTCAGGACATGTGCACCACACGCCACCACTGGGGGGCAGGGGCTAAGCTGTGACTGCTATGTCTGCCCTTGCAGCCCATGTTTGCTGACACATGCACTGGTGTGAGGATCTGTGTTTTAGATCACCACCACCGGTGGGGTGGGGCTGCTCCCCTTGTTCCACTACCTCCTAGAGGTCCAGTCCACTCACCTTCAGGTGTATAGATGCATGGATCTCTCAGGTGTTCTAGTGTGCTTTGTTAGGAAAGATAAAGGGAACTCACTTCGCCATGATGCTGATGTCTCTAGATTTGATTCTTGCTGTAATTCATCCCCCAAGTGAAATTGAAATCCTTTCGCTATTCGAGAGGATACATTTTAGTTAAAGTGGCTAAATTTGCCAACTGGTTTGCTTAACATTTATACAAAAACTTATATTTCTACAAAGGGCTTTATCATTCATAATTGTATTTAATGTTCATAATAACCCAGTTAGGTTGTGAGATGATTAAAGCCTCAGAGAGGAGATTAGGATGGTCCTAACTCCAAGTGAGACTCAGTGAAGCCCTTTGCTTGTGGAGGCTGGTTTGCAAGCACACATACACACCTTCCCGTCTGCCTGAGAAAGGTGGTTGTTTCAGAATTGGTTACTAGAAAATCAGGTGCCCAGAGATCAGGTTAGTTGAGATTTCTGAATCCACAACAAATTTTGTAGAAAGAAGGCCAGTCTTAACACAAAAAAAATCTGATTTGTTTTAATTGCATGTTATCTAATAAATTAAGACATTTGTTTGCTCATTCAGTTCTCAAACTTTCATTTGGAACTTATTTGCTAGATACTGGATGACGAGTTGCATGTGATAATTGTTAGGATACATGAATATTAGCATGTCCTTATATTCACGTCTATTTCCAAAAAGATTTAAGATAGCTTACAGAAATACATGATTTAATAAAAAACAAAATAAGAAAGAAAATAAGTACATGTAATTAGGGTGAAAGAAAAATAATGAGATTCATATACAACACAAAGTAAAAGCTGTGAGATTTTGTTTTAAAGGTTGAAGATACTTAAGTGGAAGCATGTTCCTATGCCAAGTGGAAAGGGAAAGTGAAAATTAAAGCTAGAAGAGTTGGAGGCAATAGTTGCCGGAGGAAGGTCCCAAGCCGACCAGAAAGAATGGGAGCAAAACCACGAAGGTGGGTGAGGTTTAGTCCATCATGAAACTCAAAGGATGTACAGAGGGATGAAACAGCTATGGTTTGTAAACATTAGCGTGGAACGGAAAGCAAGCCAACCTCCCCTCCTGGGGCTGAGGAGTGGGGAGTGGAGAGCAGCCTCAAATATCCAGTGAAGCACTGTATTTTAAGACTGGAAAACCTATATTCCATTTTCTTTTGCTATCCCACTGCCTAAAACTCGTAGGCTGTGCTGCTCATGTTGCAGAATACGTAACTCCTCAGTGGTTTCTGGGAGTACTGGGAACCTGGGAAATAGATTTGATTAGATAAGGCAAGCTTTGGCCCTTCATTTTCACCTTGACTTTGAATATAAGTAAAAGCTGTAAACCTACCTTCTCTTACCTTCTTTACTCTATGGTCTCCTTCATCGAGCGATATGAGTGCCTCTTGCATGTCATACAGCCTGCTCCCTCATTTTACTTTTTACTTTTGTTCATAGCTTCTGGGGAAGTTATTTGTGTGGAGTTCTGACTTAAATCTGTTCTCTTGGGTAAAGGCTGCAGACATTCAGGGAAAGGGCAACCGGAGCCTAAGTAGGCACAGGATCTTCTCTCTTGTTCAGAAATGAAATCTTTTAAGCTGTTTCCTCTTCTTTCCAGTATCAAAGGAGGCTGTAATTTAGCAGCAAAGCCACACATTTTTCTGAGGAGGGCTAATAGAATTCTGGGCACTTTGGAGAACCACAATGTGAGAGCCAAGAGGGAGCCTCAGAGGACAATCTGAGAAACACAGCCATCTTACTTTAGAGATAAAAAATTAAGACCTCAAATAAACTTAATACAAGCACAAACGTACTAGGAGGCAGAGCTGGAAGTAGCAGTCTTCTGGCTCCCAGACCAGTGGTCTTTCTGGCATGAGACTCTGCTCACCAAATAAAGCTGGGCTAGTGGACTCAAATTTCACAACTGCAAACAGGCATGTGAGGGAACAAAAAGTTTAAATTTACCTTCCAGTGATAGCTAGAATATAATATCAATATTTGCATTTTAAGTGCTTGTTTTCAGAGCACTTATATTTGTCCTTCCGGTAAAGCAGGCAACCACTGAGTAACAAGGATTATCAAAACTCAACACAACAATGGGAGGAACGGGTGTGCTTTCATGTCCTATTATTTCGTTTTGTGAACTAAGTGCTCTGATCTCCCAAGGAGTTCCCAAGCCAGAGGTATGTCATGCCTGAAGATGGGAAACTAAGATAGCTGCCTCTCTACATATTCCTACACAGGTACCACACATTCAGTGCTTGCAAGACTAGTCTCGGCATTTTGGGGCATGGAGTGGGAGTGGGGGCTATAATACACCACTCTGGCATCTAAGTTAGTTCTGTGATCAGAGTGTCAGAGCTGGAAGAGACAATTTTGTCTAATTCTGCAATTTAGACAAAGGAATTATAACTCAGAGATTAAGCAGTTTGCCCATTGTTTTAGAAAAACAAAAGCAATTTGAGCAATTTAATCATTGATTGCATTTCTCTGGTTGATTTTATTTCATTCACACCTCTCCTCCATGGTACACTGCTATCAATTCCCAGTTACTTCCATTTCTATTTCTCTTAATCTGAATGATAAATAATCTACTCAGGATCCTAAATCCTTCCTGCATTTTACCTTTCACCACCTTATTTAGGATTGTGTGCTGTTACAGAATCTTTAGTGTCGTAAGAGAATTTTGCCATTTTCATGGCTATCAAGCAGCACAGCTAACAGAGGAAAGCACAATTTTCAGAAGCAGTAGTTCAGATAAAGGAGCCTCACAGAAAAATCAGTGCCATTTACAAGACTTAATTTTAACCACATGGTTGTTTAACTTAAGAGGTTTCTGTTAAAGGCTCCATTATGGTCATAGTACAAAGACCTGAAATTACTGAATTATCCACAACATTACAACATATTCTATAATTTCTATACTAGGTGCTAGTCTATGATAAGGAAGAAAACCAAAGAGGAGCATTGCTCCAGCACATTAACAATGAACCTATTCTGATTAACATGCAGTCGTCCAATCAGCCTAGACTTCTCATTAAAATTTTGCATATAATCCAGTGCATAATCTCATACAATATCCACATTTTATACACTTTTCCTATATTTGGGACAAATAGTTACTAGTCAGACAATCAAAACCATTTGTATGGGAGGGAGCACTTCATTTTACAGCTGAGAGGACTGAAGCTCAGACAGATCAAAGGACTTTAGCCAGGTCTCAGAGGTAGCTAGCTCTTGCCTGCGGCTGGGACTGGCCCTCAATCTGGGCTGTCTACTGTTTGCTTCTTATCACAATGCCTTCCCAATTGCAGACACCTTCGAAATGCTGTTTTAACCATCTAGGAGTCAATGTGCTATTCCAGAAAGAGCAGAGGATTTGGGATTTGACAGACGGAGGAGGGGTTCGTGTTTTAGCCCCACTTCTTGCGAGACCAGTGATCTAGATAAGACTGACTTGCTCTCTCTGGAGCCAGTTTTCTTCATTTGTCAAATAGGGGTAAATACCTGACAAACGGAGCTGGAGCTGTTGGAGAGAAAGCGTGATGTATGTGAAATGTGTGGCCTGTGGTGGGTGAACATATGGTCCCTTTCCCACACGGGAGGTGGACTATACTTTCCGAAGTACCGGCTGCACTAGTGAGAGTGCCAAGTAATGAGTTCACGTCTTGATAATTAGGTAAAAGAGGGAAGACAGAAGGTGAGTCATGTTTATGGGTTCACTTACTATGACAGGACTAATTTTCTGTGGGAGAGAAACTGAAGTCCAGATTTTAAGGAACAACGGGGCCATTTCCCTTTTATCTGTATAGCTGTCTTTGGAAGAAGACAATTTTTCCTTTAATACTGCAAGAACTAGAATAATTCCCCACAACAAGGCTGTCATGTTTTAGTGTGAGTGATCAACTTTTTAGACAAAGGAATTAAATCCACACTTAAAAAGCAATTATTCAAATTATATAACCCCTATTTTAAAGACATGTTCCAAATTTACTTTGAAACTATGAAAACTTTCATACATAACTGCAAAAAATAAGTATTTTTTAAACTCGGGGGTACCATGTCAGTGTCTGAATAAGGCAAAATAAAAATGAAATTTATTCGTGATTATGTCAATATACCCCACTCCCTGGGCTGAGAACACAGGTGGTCTTGGTCATCCTTGCCCTGGCTTGCTTAGAGCAGAGGTTCCATGACAGGAAAAACAAGCAAAGATTAGAGACTACTGTCTCTGCCCAGTTTGTAAAATGGAGCTGTCACCCTGAGAAGGGGCCATTGGGTCTGTCCCTGCTTCTGGAGCAGTGGCTGAGAGATTCTGCCCAGGGGCAAGAGGCAGTCCATAAGAACAGAGACTTCTGACGTTATCTGAAACAGAGTGAAGTTCAAGCTCGAGGGTGTTCTTGAAAACAGTGGAGATTTTGGTGATAGGCACTTAAGTATTTTAATTAAGAGGCTTGTGGCTCCCTGAGATCAACAAGCTAAACCATAAATCAGAGAGTTTACCAGAAAGAATCAGGAAAAGAGACAGCTGGAAAGAATCCTCCTGGGACCAGAATAAACCTCAAACACTGGCCTCACAAACTAACTGTGCAAAGGGACCGAAATTTAATAGATCAGACAGTAGAACAATTTATGCCTCACATAATGTAAATAATGTAAAAGTTTTTAGGTGATGAAAATGTTCTAAAATTGATTGTGGTGATGGTGCACAACTGTGAATATTCTACAAAACTACTGAACTGCATACCTTAAATGGGTGGAGTATATAGTTTGTGAGTTATATCTCAATCTAGCAGTTATTTAAAAAATACCATAGGCCTTACATGGATACCAACTCTCACATCCTAAAAATTCTCTCAACAGCAATTTTGCGTACATTCATTTAGACGTGCTCTTATGATTTCTACACCTTACTGTTTTGGATTAACTTTTTAATATAAATTTTGTAGAAGTATATAAGGAAAACTTCAAATGCTAAGTGGTTAAAATGTAGCAACTTCACTACTTTAACATAACACAGGGGAGACAGATTCTTTTCTACTAGCAATAGGACTTTGGTTAAAAAGTACTTCTTTGTCTCAATATACAGTCATAACATTCACAGAGTAATACCAGCTCTTCTTCTCTTCCAAGGCTGTCATGAAAATTCTATTTACAAGTATGGCAGACAAGCCCTCATCTGAAACGCTTGGGGCCAGATATTTGAATTTAGAATTTTTCGGATTTAGGCAGCCCACGTTATCATATAAAACTCTCAGTGGGGTCTGTGGAACACAACATAATCAAATTATTCCTCTAAATTTCTCCAAGAGAAATAAATACACTTACGAGGGATGAATCAGGACTATAGAAAACCTTACATCAGGTTCAGGTCATATTTGGCCACCAAATGAATTTTGGCATCAAATTTAACAACAATATCATCAACAAAACCTTTGATTTTCAAAATATTTTATATCGCCAAATTGCAGATAAGGGGACATATGCTACATAATTTCAACTCCCAGCTCTGCTATATCTCCTGTGAAAAAAATATCTAGCTATTTTCTAAGGCTGATGTGACTCAAAATAAAAATGAGACGATGTGTATCTGAATGTACCCAGCAACTGGAACGCAGGATGCAAACAGAGCTTCATATTACCAGTTATTTAAAAAGTAAAGTCTGTTAATATTTAATATTTTAAGAACAGAGAAAACATTAAAAAAGATGTTTTTTGAGTATCAACATACAAAAAAAAGTACAAGAACCCACCCCCATCTCTAAGGCTTAAAGAGCAGTTATCCAGCTGTAGTCCACTTTCCTGAATTTTCTCAGTTCTTTTTCTTCAGATTTTGACAACTGATGTATAATGTCTTCACCCAAATCTGTGTTATCTGTATCCTGGACCTTTTCAGTAAAGTCATTTTCTTCATCTGAATCATCTCTTTCTTTTTCTTCTTCCATGTCCACATCATCAGGAATTTCTTCAGCACTTTAACAATAAGAGCACAAAATATAAACAACTACTTTTTAAAAATACATTTCTAAACAATAATTTCCTAATTTAAGACACCTATGTAGAAATATAATCATATGGACAAAGTACATAAAAAAATCTTGTTATTGGGTGCACTTTAAAAATTATGGGTTGTTATAAAGAGAAATACAGGGGAAGAATATTCTCTTAGAGGATAACACAAACTACACTGTTTCCCAAAACAGAATATCCAAATGTTACTTTAAGAACCACGTTACCTCTTAGACTCCTTTGACAGCAGCAAGGAATTTACAAACATGGAGCACAGGAAGGAAGCAGAGGGTAGTACATGGGCTGGAGTGTGAAGCAGCTGGAGTAAAAACCAAAAAATAGGGTTTCATTTAAAAACATTAAATGCCAAGAGCCGAACACAACAAGCTTTCCCCACAGAAAAACCAAACCAAAGAAAAATCTACTCCCACCTTCCTACATTTATGCAAATGACAACCCCTCCCCTCACCCCAGGTCAGGCCACAATAATCCAAAATCATAAGTTTATGCTATTTGATTTGGGTTTTTTAAATGCACAGTATACAAACGATTATTCAAGTTATTTGTTAGACTGATTTTGTATAAAAACTCTAACTCAAGGTGCCTAAATGCATTTAATCTGTTCTGCATTGTTTTAATAATTACTCACCTCACTAATTGCGGGTATGTTTTCTGTTAGGGGTAGTTGTACCAGTTCATTCTCTAAAGCTGCATTTAATTTCTCATCCTGCTGTTGCCTGTGCTTTCCCAATATGAAATAAAATGGGGTTGTCGGAAGACTTTCTTCTGCTAGTAGCTATAAGGATTTAAGATAAAGCAAATTACTTCAGTAAAAAGGAGGAACTGTCTTTGACTCAGTAAGAGGTACGACAGAGTCATAAAATGTCAGGGATGGAAGGAACTTTAAAAATTATCTAATATGATTCTTTCATTTTACAGGTCAAGCAACTGAGGCCTGGTAGCCCACTTACTATGGGAAAAGCTAACAGGGGACACTCAGATGACAGAACAAAATACGCATTTACCAGTGCTTCTCTTCCAAATTCTACAAAAATGACAGTAAAGGAATTTTCAAAAGGGCATAAACCCACAGCGATAAAAAGTAACATACTGGAAGCTGGAAAGTAGGGTGAAGGGTGCTAAGTAACTGAGTATACCTGAGAAAGCAGAATCTGAAGCTGGCTGTGGGGAAAGCCAAGCAGCAGCCAAACTTATCCTGCGGAATCCTGCAAATGCTCAGGCACTGGTACTAACAGTAACAGTACTTTTGTAAAGAGCTAAACACCCACCAGGGAGCCCGGCTGAAAGTCTATTTAGAGAGCACTCAGATTCCCAGATCTCTTTCCCAGCCCCAGCAGAGGGCTGCAAGTAAATTCCTTGGAGAGCAGAACAAAAGTGCATCTCTAGATTGGACTGCTATGTGTAGGGGTGGTGAGGATGGTGGTAGTGTCTTCACAGTCACAGCTGAAGGCAGCTCTACTTCACATAGGGTGCTTCTCAGAACACTGGCAGCCAGGCCAACATCCTTCAGGCAAGAACTTACAAGAATTTTATCCGGGCAGTTTGACCAGCCTAAAAAGACCTAAAAATAATGACATTGGACACTTTCTCAAAATAGCTCAGGCAGAAAGTGGAGGCCAGTAGACAAGTTCCACCTAGGCAGAGACCTCCCAAATTGCATTTTTTTTTTTGAGGAAGATTAGTCCTGAGCTAACATCAGCTGCCAATCCTTCTCTTTTTGCTGAGGAAGACTGGCCTTAAGCTAACATCCATGCCCATCTTCCTCTACTTTATATGTGAGACGCCTGCCACAGCATGGCTTGACAAGTGGCACGTAGGTCTACACCTGGGATCCAAACCAGCAAACCCCGGGCCGCCGAAGTGAACGTGCAAACTTAACTGCTGCTGCCACCAGGCCAGGCCCCACAAATGGCTTTTTTGTTCCCTTTTGTTTTTGTTTTTGAGAAAGATTAGCCCTGATCTAACATCTGCTGCCAATCCTCCTCTTTTTGCTGAGGAAGACTGGCCCTGAGCTAACATCTGTGCCCATCTTCCTCTACTTTTTATGTGGGACGCCTACCACAGCATGGCTTGCCAAGCGGTGCCATGTCTGCACCTGGGATCCAAACTGGTGAATGCTGGGCCGCCGAAGTGGAATGAGTGCACTTAACTGCTGCACCACTGGGCCGGTCCCTTGCTCCCTTTTAAATAAGAGCAGACAGCTGAGACTCTGAATCAGACTCTCATGAAAACTTCCAAAATGAAAGACAGAGACCAACATACATTGAAAACAAAACCAAAAAAAGATAGAAATGGACCACGCAAGAGAGAGAAAAAAAAGTAGATTAGATGATAAAAGATGAAGAAATCTCTCAGACAACAGAAAGAAAATAAGAATATTAAAGCACCATTCTAGAAGGTCTAGAACTAAATGATAGGAGTTGCAGAAAAACAGAGAAAATGAAGGCAAAAAAGCAATTCTTCCTTAGTCACTTCTCTGATCAAAACTCTCCAAGGGGCTCTACTGAGAGGAAAAGCCAATGTCTCTCATCAAGGCCTATTCTGACTGTCCTCTATAAAATGGGAGCTGCACCTCGTACCCTCTTTTCCTGTATATTCCTCCCCCCATAATGCTTATCACCTTCTAAAACACTACATATTTTACTTATTTAATGCTTGCTGTTATTGTCTATATCTTGTTGCAGAGTGTACACACCACAAGTTTAAAAACTCGATTATTTTGTTCACTGATATACCCCAAGCATCTAGAACAGACCCTGGCATACAGATGATAAACAAGAAATTGTTGAACGAATTCAATGAGTCTTCAGAGGAAAATAAACAAGCCAGGTTACAGATAAAGGATCAAGAATATGAATGGTATTGGACTTCCAGTAACACCCCAAGCTATAAAATAATAGGAGAGCACCTTCAAAGTTCTACGAGAAAATGATTTTCAATTTATAATTCTATACCCAACCAACCAATCAAGTGGGAGAGAACAGAAGCATTTCCAAACATGCAAGGTCTTAAATTTGCCTCCCATACACTAACAGAATGTGCTTCACCAAAGGGAGTGACCAAAGAGGAAAACTCCGGGACCTATTACAGCAGAGGTGAAATGGTGCCCAGAACGATGGTCACTGTAGGGCCTATGATGACTACTGTGCACAGGTTTACAGAGCAATCAGTCCAGACTGAAGCAGGTCAGAAGGCGCTTGGAAATATTTCTTTAAGACTCGAAAGAATGCTTAATATGTCTGAAAATTCTGAGAGAAGATTTACACAACTTCAGTAGAGTTTAGGGGGTAAATTAGATGAGAAAGAAATAGAAAACTAAGCAAACGAGAAAAGAAGGTAATCATTAACTTCAGAGGAAAAAAGCTGGGCATAAAAGGAAAAACAATCTGTCTATTATTACATGGCTCAGCTATGAATTGGTTTACATGGCTGTAATGATGAACGCTGACCTAATTTAAGATTTATCTACACTGGGAAAATTGGGTGACAGTAAAGGTGTGTGTGTTGTGTATTGGGGGGAACAGTGGTATGAAAAAGAGCCAGAACTTCAACTTCAATAGGTCATAGTTAACAGATAATACCTAAATCTGAAAAATTCAGAATTAGCAATATAAACATGTTTCTTGCAGATATGGAGGTAAATAAAACCTCCAGCTAAAAGAGCTCAAACTGATTATCTTTGTAGGTAATGACAGTGGGATTACGAAAGCTTTTCCTGAAAAGTCTTGAAGAACTATTTGACTCTTTACATCGCAATTTGGTATTACAAATTGAAACTACATTTTAAAAGAGTAATATAACCCCAGAAGAGGCAAATAGTTTCCTTTTTTTTGAGGGGGAAGATCAGCCCTGCGCTAACATCTGCTGCCAATCCTCCTCTTTTTGCTGAGGAAGACTGGCCTGAGCTAACATCCGTGCCCACCTTCCTCTACTTTATATGTGGGATACCTACCACAGCATGGCTTGCCAAGCGGTGCCATGTCCACACCCAGGAACCGAACCGGTGAACCCCAGGTCGCCGAAGCGGAACGTGCACACTTAACTGCTGTGCCACTGGGCTGGCCCCGAGGCAAGTAGTTTTTAAGTGTATGGTTTTTAATTCCACTGTAGGGCAGATGAAACATTTTACTCATAGCTGAGTTCTAAAAGATAACCTTATCTTTGTAGGGAAGCAATGCAGTCTGCACCGTGACTATAACATACCTGTTTGCTCGTGGGTGTGAGTTTCTCTTCTGGAGACTTTGTACTTAATGTCAATAAACTCTGAAAAGAGAGACTGATTAATGACGCAAAAGATAAACTGCAGAATGCAAATCTAAGCAGATGTTAAAGTTAGAAAATGAGAAGGTCAGTTTTTCATCTTGATATATACAGCTGCCCACAGAAAAGTATCAAAAGACTTAAAACATATTTAATAACTGCTGTGACAGTTATAAGATTGTTCTGAGAGATCATATTTAAGAACTGGTAATGAAATGAGATTCAACTGATGGATCAGCCTGAGGCCAAAGTTTTCTTCATGGCAAATCAAATACTAACCCCCCCCCCCCCAAAATCAACTATACTAATAATAAATACAATTTAAAGTATTGTAGGCATCTTTTTTTCTTCTTTTTGGCTGTCATGGAGTTAATGCAAACCGCATGTAAAGAGCCTCAAAGTTGTGGAGTGAAGCGTGCTAATATATTCACACTAGCAATACTGCTGTATTGAGCATATTAGATTATTTCTTTTGGGAAATATCCTTTAATGAAACTATTCTACCTGTTATGGGCTGACTATTACTCTCAAATATTAAAGCAACTGAAAATCACATATACTGAGGTGGGATGGTTACCTGCGATTTTGTTAGAAAGTAAAACTGGGATCTGTTCAGCCACTGGTAAGCTTCTGAGGTGAATGATTCAGGAACATCTCGTGGGACAAACACTCCCCACTGGACTTCCTCCCTGGAGATATTCTTTTGAATATACAATGGCCTTGGCTCACTAGGTTTAAATACAAACACTAGAGAGAAAAAAACAGACAGACAATGACATTTGGCCTGTAAAGGTTACTTCTAGCCTCAGGTTGGCAGACCACACGAATCCTGAGACTTACCCCATTGAGTATATGGCCCAGGTCATAACTATTTTAGGCTTTGATTCAACAAATATCTACAAGGTGCCTAGTATGTGCCAAGCAGGTTAGGAATGAGGGCTATGAAGATGAAAAAGAAAAAAAGAATCCCTGCTCCAGAGACCAGGGTCCACTGCAGAAGACACACTGAAATATTATTGCAGTATTTTGTCTGAAGTACCAGAACAGAGATGTGTAGAAAGTGCCTGAAGAGCATAGAGGAGGAATGATTAAAGCTTCTTAGGGGAACTGAGAATGCTTCAAAGGGGGGAGATTGATTCTGAAGGCTGTGTAGGAATTGGCATGTTGAAAAATGAGAAAGGTACTAGAGCTGTCTCAGAGCTAAGTACGAACGCACACATGACAAGGTGTCGAACAAGAATTCAAGAAAGGAAGGGAAGTGCCTCAGGCAAAATGGCTTCATATGAATATCTGATTCAAAGGCAAGTTTGACTCAAATTATATTAAAGACGTTAAAAAGAAAATTTAAGTACTCGATCTCTCCTTACTATTAAAGTATGGTCGGTACTTACAGTCTGAACCCATGGAAGAGTGAGAGATTGCAGCAATGTTCTCTGAATTAAGATCAGGCTCCATAACTCTAACGTTTAATTTTGCACTCCATTCCACTGGGGATAAAAGAAAGTGATTCACTTCTAAGAAGAGATTTACCAAAAGCTTTTTTAACCTGGTTATTTAAAGTAGGTACTCTTAATGTTTATTGGGAGAATCAATTCCATTATTCTTAGGAAGAGGGATTTTACGCTTCCAGATAGCACATGGAGACACACTGAAATTATCTGTGGCAGGCTGCACTAAAGCAAGGGGCAGGAAGCAGAAAAATAATGTACTCCTTCCTCACACTATGAAATGGTTACTATTTCAGTGCAACTATTGTCTGGTGCTTTTTCACTGCTGCTAAATGTGGGCAAAGTGTTTACCAGAGTCTCTGTGGAGAATATACAAAAATGTTATCACACACATTCATCACCAAGCAACCATCATACCTTCCAAACATATACTCGAATGAGTAAAATAACACTAAGTCCACATTTGTTAGGAGGATTGTGGCAGGCTACATTCAAATTTAGAGCTATCAGGGATACCGCTGGTTAATATGCACTACAAATTAGTAGAAACAGTTCTCAAATTGTCATGAGGATGACAGAGGGCAACAGAAAGTCCTATGCACTGAAGACAGCGGAAAAAGACAAGAATAATGGTGGTCGATTTAGAGGTACTGACAATTAGGCAGTTTATAAATAATCTATTACAGGCCTAATACTTCATATTTGGTGGTATAATGTTATGTGAAAAATTACATATTCTCTGGGTAGGGACATGAAAATATGATCCATAAGTCCTAAAATGCCAAAGTTTAATGGCCCCTTCCTACATGCTTTGTCAAGTCATTTTAGAGTAAAAAATATCTTACATGCACAACTGAGCAGATTCCAACAGCAAAGAATACCATTTTCAGTAGCACCAAGAAGATACTTTGAACAAGTCAGTCTCCCAAAGCAAAGGTGCCTAGATTAAAACCACAAGGAAGTTAGCAACAGTCAGTTCTAGCGCACTTAGTTACAAGGGACTGCAGACTTCAGAGACAGTATTAGTCTTATGCAATGCAGATTTTTAGACAGACACCTTTTTTTGGTTTATAACGATCCTGCAGAAAAAAGGGCTAACAAATACAAAAGGAAAAGTTTATTTAGCTATTTTGTTTCTGTAGGAACACAGATTTGATGACCAATTCTTTTCTCTCACATGTTCTGCAGTATACCAATAACATATATGGACAAAATATATGTGAAATGCACAAAGTCACTTAACAAAAACTCTTTTTTGTGCTTGTTTACCTAGAAGAGGTAAATTTGCAATTTTAATTCTGAAGAAATTTTTAAAAAGTAAATTCAGGGGCCAGCCCCATGGCCGAGTGGTTAAGTTCGGGCGCTCTGCTTTTGTGGCCCAACGTTTTGCCAGTTCAGATCCTGGGTGCGGACACGGCACTGCTCATCAGGCACACTGAGGCGGTGTCCCACATGCCACAACTAGAAGGATCCACAACTAAAATATACAACTATGTACTGGGGGGATTTGGGGAGAAAAAGAAGAAAAAAAAATAATTAAAAAAAAAAGAAGACTGGCAACACTTGTTAGCTCAGGTGCCAATCTTAAAAAAAAAAAAAAGGAAATTCAGAATCAGACATATTGGGAATTAGAAACCATTTCATTAGCCATCTGCCATTCCGTCCTCAAATGCCCAGTTACCTGAAGTAAAACGGAAGAGACTATTATCTTCCCCAGCCCGTCTTAGAAACAATGAGGCTTGAGCATAACACAGTTTTTATGGGGATACACAGAAAATAAGCATTGTTTGGATCTACTGAGGCTTATGCATATCTTCTATTATTATGCAGCGCAACCATGAAAAATATTTATTACAAAGAAAAGTCTGTAGGCCAAGAATTAAATGTTAATCCTGATTTCAGAAATGGATAAGAAATCAGCACATGGTTCATGTACCCAGAATGCTTAGGTTCTCAGCACCTTGGTTAGTTTCTGGCCTCAGTGACCTACAAGCTACCTTTAGACAAAGCATCAATTATTAGTTAATTTTATGTAGAAAGACTTGTTTAAATTAAAAATAATATAGTACTATATACTCCCCATACTCCCCAAATTATTTACCTACCTTATTTTCCCAGCTCGTTGACAAAATGTACATTTAAGTTCCCATGTCTCTGAATCCCATATTGTAACTATTTCCTCAAAACTAACTGCTAGTAAAGAGCCATCTTCAGAGAAACAACAGTTAGTTGCTTGGTATTTGTGATAACTACCGACGAAGTCACAGGTCCAGCCAACAGCTTTTTCTGTGGAAATATAGACCATAGAGCTCAGAAATGGTATAAATGCTAGGTAACATTACAGGGGACTTATATGCAGTAAGGATTAAGAAGTAAACAACCTGCTCCCCAAATCTTCAGTCAGAAGTGCCACAAAACTCTGACTGGTGTGAACCGCACATGCTCCTTCCTGGAGACCTCGACCTCCCTCTATGGGAACAGTGAAACGACTAATCACATAAGCCTTTCTTAACTTTACCCTCACAAACTGGAACAATCAGCACACGATTAATCAAGAATGCCATTAAAAAGGTAAAGATTTGCGGAAAAAGGCACGTAAAAATGTAACTCAAATCTTTTTAAAATTGGGCGACATCCTATAGAATTAAATGAGGTAGAAAATGTTCTCCCAGAATGGATGCAATTCATGAAGATAAATATACCAGTTCTTAAAATTGTGTACTCACCCGATATGTTTAACTAACTTACTGTATATGTCAGAATCATCTGTTAATATCCACACTTTGAAGTGACCATCTTTACTAGCTGTAACCAAGGTGGGGTTTTCAGATTTTTCTGCATTACAGAAACAGAGAGCTGTGATGTGGTCTTCATGTGGCATGTTAACCTTTGTATTAAGAACAAACCTAAGAGGAAGGAAAGCACCAATTTATTCTTAGATCAGGACAACACAACATACCGTCATGAGCATAAGAATTTCTTACATATTGTACATTTTACAGTAGCATCTTTAAGGATCAGCAAGTGATACATTATCACCAAGAATGACAACTGAATGCTCTCTCTCTAGTGGCCACAGGATGCAGAGTTCTAACTGTCTCTGTTCTCATGTAACTTTCATAATATAGCGATACTTATGTATAGTGTCAACTTACTAATACAAAATGAGTATAAAATAGGGGTCATTACAAAATGATACTTGGAAGTCTACTATAACAAACTCTGCAGGAAAACTGTATAGAACCTAGAGGCCTCACTATCTGCTTTTGAAAATCAGCAAAAAATGGAATGACTGTAAAAGCCCCTACCTGTAGCAAGAAAATACAGGAAGAAAACTACCTATCTGAACTGCCCTGGTCAATGTCTAATATTTAGTCATCCCAACTACCTCTCAAAGCTTGTTCCCAGCTTGGCAGGGCTCTGCTGTGAATGAATGATAACCTACGCCAGCACTGTGTTCTTAAAAGAACATCAGGGCAAGATAATGGTGAGATTCTAAGAAGTCCAGGACACAAGAGGGGTGACTAGGGACAACCACTTAACCCCTCTGGGCCTGTTCCCTCACTTGTAAAATAAGCTAATCTTACACTATTCCTGTGAAGACTACAGGATAGTAGGCACATACTAAAGCACGAAGACTAGTTCCATGATAAATGGCTACTGTAACCGTGGTCTGAGAAACCAGTGGGCTCCTTATCTTCTCAAAACACACACACCACACCACACCACACTACACCTCTGCTGCCCACCACGGCCATTTTTCCAAAGGTAGCATACTGTTAATAAAAGAGCAAAGAACTAAGTAAGACATTTGGATTCTAACCCTGGATTTGCCTGGAATTAGGTATTACATCCTTAGGGGTGCCACTTTCCCATGTTTCCTCATTTATGCATTGAGATGACACTACTTGGAGGACACCAAGGCTTTCTCAGAGCAGAAAGCTTAAAGGCTTTATTAGAAAAATAATACCTCCCTCATTGATCTAAATCCAAAACTTATCAAAATGAAACATCTTAAAGACCGACAATTGAAACCATAAAATACAAAGTCAAATATTTTCTACTCTGAAATTAAACTGCTACATAGGTAGTATTACCCTTGTGTTTTCTTATTATACATCCACAGTTTCATTTGCAACTCCAGCTCTGTTTCCTTTTCTTGACGTTGTTCCACCGTTGCAAGCCAGTTACCATAGCAGCCAAATGCAGCCTTTGTTAGCTCAATTTGGATCAGACCGTAATCATTGATATATTCTTGCTGTACAATATCCAACTGATGGATTAAAAAAAATCCAAAATGCTTATTAATGTAAATACATAAATGTGAAAGCTTTCAAGGAATGGTAATTAACTACAAAGACAACTTTTAGAATCTATAGTAATAGTTTTTAGATAAAAGGGAAAAATGAACCAATTGCGAGTCATGGACATCAAAACTGCCACTAAAAAAGAGAGCACATTATACAGTATCAACTCAGTGGTGAATATTCTATGACCTTGAACTTTAGAGATTACTATGATTCATTTGTATGATACAGTAGAACCTCTGGCTTAATGTTTTTCTATTGTTTCTATGAATAAATGGCTTCACATAAAATCTCAAGGCTGGATTCCACAACACTAAAAACAAGAACAAAAATAACACCTACAGTTTTTAAGAAGTGAAAAAATGATGGCAATGTTGTAAGTAGGTGAGCATTTTATTTATGACTGTTCCTTTTATTCAATTTCCTCATCTATTTATTAAACATGTATTTAGTGTCTATTATTTCCAGGCATTATACTGGAAATGTACAAAGATTAATAAGTTTCCTTTCTTTGAGGAGTTTAAAAGCAATGGAGAGAAAGAGATCAAATGTTACAGCCGCGATGATAAAAATCTGTAAAGAAATCTGTACTATAGGGCACAAAAAAGAAGTGGCAAGTCTCGAGTGCATTTATCAGGATTAATAAGAAGCATTCCTCTTTAATCCACACGGAAAATTTTATCATTGGTATGTACATATGACACTGCTTCACCATAAAGCAGAGACATATTTGTACTGTCAATCCCCACATTCTCATTTCCTTCTCCTTGGGACTCAAAGGCACAGATGTATGTGACAGCTAACTAGAGTGCAGTCGGAAACAAAATAAAATACACAAAGAGAGAGCCAGCACGAGAGTGGCAACTGGCTTACATGTAGACTTAACCTGCAACTGTGGCCTCAACAGAATCATGCTGTAAACAACTGAACTAAGTAATCCAAAGACACAGTGACTATGTTCAAGGAAACATGGGCAGAGGATCTTGTTTTAGAAGCTACTAAATAAGTTATTTGACCCAGTGGTGATGTAAAGAGCTTTCACTAATTTTACAGCTAGTTAATGAATCAAAATCATACGTTGTATAACTGCTTATCACTCTGGAGAGAATAAAACTGCAAGTGGCCAGGTTTTCCATTCAAAACCAAAGCTTTAGTTCTTGGATCAATCATCAAACCAGTAAAGATATTGCTGTCTGCAAAAAAAGTGACAAACAATAGTTGAAATCAGACAAATATTCATTTTTAAAATGTACATGATTCCAAAGCCACTGGCTTCTGCAATACCTTTCACTAGGCCTTGAATTACTGCGGATGCCTCAAGGTTTCGGTGAATGACTATTATCTCTGGGGAAAAAAACCAAAACAAAACACACTGATGAGAACTTAAAGATAAGAAAAAAAATCACTTGAATTTTTAACATTCTGAAACATACCAGAACACAAAACAAGTGAGCAAGTTCAATTTACTTGGCGTGTTATTGGAAAATCAAGAATGTATTTTGCAATTTAGCTAGAAAAACTAGATGTGGGGATGGGGGTTTTCCTGTCGGAGTTTTTAAGTTTTATCAGCTGCACCTATGAATATATTTTAAGTGTTACTTCAGAAACACATACACCCTAAAAGAGACAGATAGTTCACTTTGAAATGAGTCATTGCACTAATGGATTGCTCAGAGTTATGCACTATGGTATCTATGTTTAGGCTGAGAAGTAACAGAATGAGCAAAAAGTTTTGGAGGAATACAAGACGCCTCCCCTTCTGTCAGACTCCATAGGCTCCCACACTGAGATAATGGCTATATCGAAGGAGATCCTCATAGTGTTCTCTTGAAAATGCCATTATATTTGTGAAAGCAAAAGGCCCACTTCAAATCCCTCCCTTTACTTTCCCACATCATCCCACGTGAAAAGGTTTTGAAATGTACGTGGCACGACAATAACCAAATTCACTCAGCCCCACATTTTCATAAAGCAACTCTGTAAATGTTGGATTCTGGTGGCATCTAGGGGCAGAAAGGGGTAGAGAAAAGAGGAAGAATGGAAGAAAAAATGCTCATTAAATCTTATGCTACTCTTAATTAATTTTAGGTTTCTATTTTCCATTCCCTACAGATGCTAGTTAATTTAGGCATTACACACAAATTATGTTTCCTCATGACAGCAAATTTCGACTTACTATTATCAGAGTGAGAAGTACAGAACAAATCCCCCGCTGGGGAGACGGAGATATGTTCAATAGTAGCTCCTAAACGGGGGAGGAACTCCTTATTCTTCTCTGCTGCATCGCGCCACTCGACAAGGACAGACTCACGGCCACCACTCAGCAGGCTGGTGCCTTCTCACCCATCCATAGAAATGAAAAGGACGATGTTTGGGGGGAAAAATAGAAAGAAAAATATAATCAACATTTTAATTTCTTCTACCATGTTAGAGAAATAAACTACTTTGAAGAACATGCAAACAAGTGTCTTTGTATCTCTTAACTATCTTCCTATCTTAAATCTTAAGACAAAAGATTTAAAGATCCTGGTTTAGGAACTTTCCTTTCTAATGACATCTGACTAGTTTGGTGCTGACCAACTCTTCCACCACTAACTAGAAAAATGAAACAAATGTCCTCTACGCTGAGATGGCTTCACTGGTGAATTTTTCTAAACATTTAAGGAAGAAATGTACCGATTTTACACTCTTCCGGGTGACAAAAAAAGAAAGAACACTCCCCAATTTGTTTCACAAGACCAGCATAATCCTATACCAAAACTAGTACTTTGTAAGAAAATTACAAGCCAATTTTATGACAGATGAAAATTCCAAAATAAAATATTAGTAAGCTGAATCCAATGATACATTAAAAGGCTAAGATGTCATTGCAGAGTTGAGTTTATTGCATGAATGTGAGATTATTTTAACATTTGAAAAAAAAATCAATGTAATAAATTCCATTTACATAATAAAGGGAAAAATCATGAGTATCTTAATAGACGCAGAAAAAGTAAATGACAGAATCCTACACCCATGATAACAGCTCTCAGCAACCTAGAAATTGATGAGACCTTTTAAATTGCATCAAGGATACCTAGCGAAAATCTATAGCAAACATCATTTTAAGTGGTCAAATACGGAACACCTTCCCCTGTGACTGGGAACACTATTAATCAATTTTATTCAACATTAACCAGAGGTCCTAGTACACAGAAATGAGACAAGAAAGGCTGAAGGATTGGAAAGAAGTAATTGCTTCAGTGCTCACACACAGCATAACTGGGTTCACAGCACAGCCCAAACAGTTTATACTGTTCATATCTGCCTTAACTTACAAACAGCTCTCAGAACTATCATTTGTAGTTCGTTTACACAGACAATTAACTCATACCTATACAGGGACAATACTGAGACTTCATGGTCAATGATGTACTAGATTTACCATTACTTCTCATTTACAAATATTCACACTGCTTAAAAATATAAAGAATTCGACTCTCTTCTAGCCAAGGTTACCTGCGGTACCTCCTGTATCAAAGCCCTAGCTCAGAGGTGCTTTGTATTCCTTCTTTACCATTCTTCCAGCGCCGACTTAGTCTAACTACGTATTCCTTCTTCCCCACACCCCACCCGAAAAGGCCAATCTTCAATGTCCCAGGGCTTAAGGAAAGTACGGCAACCACAGAAAGCTGTGACTGCTAACTAGTGAGAGAGGAGGTGGAAGAGATGGCTAAGAGCAACAAAACAGAGAAAGGTCACAGGGACAATAATATCAATTGGTCTTGGCCCTGATTTGCGCAAAAGCCACAGAAGGGAAAAAGAAGCTGAGGAGGAAGGGCAGACGAAACCACCTCAGATTAGGAGAGAATAGAGGCTCTGCCTAGAACATTACACAGAAATGTACACACATGCCACAGACACACTTATTTGTATTTCTAGGGGGTGAGGTGGAGAGGAGGGTGGAGAAGATGAGTAGCCTACATCTTTTATCCAGAGGGTTAATAAGCTTCTCCTTCTCTTTCTATCCTCCTGTATGTCAGAACTGTATTCCTGAGTATGTTAGGTTGGGTCCCACCCCCACACCAGTCACTGTTCCCCCAACCCAAAGCACAAACAGGCTGAAGGTGCCTCCTACTTTCTGAGGCTCCAGTGAGTTAAACCCAAGTAACCCTTAAGGAAGTAGAGCCCTGGCAGGCTCCAGGAAGACCTGCAGAAAGAAAAATCACTTTCTCCAGGCATGTAATCTTCTCTAGCATCTAGCCCCCTTTTTCCAGGACCAGTCAAAATATGCCCACATCACTTTCACCACATGAGTGTGAGGATGCTAAAAGTAACCAAAGACAAAATGTCCTTCTCTAAACTTCGGTTGAAGATCATCCTATTTTCAAGGAAGAGTTTCATCTGTTGCCAATCTTCCTCTTTTCGCTTGAGGAACAGTCGCCCTGAGCTAACATCTGTGCCAATCTTCCTCTGTTTTATAAGTGGATCGCTGCCACAGCGCGGCCATTGACGAGTGGTATAGGTCTGCGCCCAGGAACCAAACCCAGGCCTCTGAAGTGGAACGTGCTGAACTTAACCACCAGGCCACAGACCGGCCCCTCAAAGAAGGATTTTACATCACTACAGCCATGCTCTAATGTGGCGTAAATGGAACAAAGGTCTGAATTAATTTAAAATTGTGAACGTGAATGAGGCAATCTAACAGTCAAGAACATAAACTTCTGAATTAGACCTAGGTGCAAATCTCACTTACTAGTCATGTGACCTTAGGCAAGTTGGTTCTCAGCTACAAACCTCACCTCCTTCACCTGTAAAATGAGAATAATGACACCTACTTCACAGGGTCAAGGATAAAATGAGATGATGTAAAGCACTAGCACAGTTATTTGCACCTGATAAACTGTAGCTACACTTACGGACAACAAGCACTTGGCTATGGAGACACACATTTGAATTTGAACAGGTTCTTTACGTTAATAACAGAGACTTTATCACAAGTGTACACCTTAATACTCTGAAGGGCTTTGAAACCTAAAGTATATGGTATTGTGCTGAGCAAAGTCCAAAACACAGGGTGAGAGACAAGTGTTCACAATTCGTTTGGTCCATGCAATTCTAAGGCTTTCAAATTATAAAACACAGTGAATTAAAATACTTGATCCACATACTTCAGAAATTCATTTTAATTATTAAACTTGCACTCACCTGTCACTGAAAAAGCCAAATCCATAACCATATCATGGTGCCAATGTAAACATGTGTATGTATATTTCTTATCATCATCAAAATTCCTCCTATTGGAGAAAACCAAAATTCTCAATTTGATTAAAGGCATACATTACGAAAATAATGTATGCCAAAAACAATAAATCACGGTATGAAGCTTATAGGTCTCACTGTGCAAAAAGTACATTCTGTATTTCTAACCAAAGTTAGTTCCACAAACAACAGGCCATCATGGTATCTTACTAGTTAGATATTCACTACTGTCACTCCTTCCTTTTTAGAGGCTTGCAAAAAAGTTCTCTTCAATAAAACAATTATAGGCAGAATGGCATTTTTTACTCCTACAAGGGCAAGGTTGGAAATTCTGAAACATTAAGTCTCTGCAATGAAGCGCACAGGAGGACGAGAAAGGGAGGAGGTCAGCAGAGCCCAATCTCCCGTTTTTGGCTTTTCTGTACTATTCCTTCTCCTAGACCCAGAAAGTGCGCTGCTCTACAGGACTGACACACAAGAGTTCATAAATGATCACCACGCTCGCTTCAGGAGTTAACTGACCAAAGACGGATCTTGCCATCCTTGTGACCAGTTGCTATGCAATCTTCCTTTGGGTGACATGCCACACATGTAAAATTGTTCTTAGCATGCTTCTTATTTCTTGATGATGATAAAGTAAACCTAGAAGAAAAAAATTTTCCTTTGATTATTAAAGTCTCTTTGTAAGTGGTGATGTAGTTAAGGAAAAGGGAATTCCCACCCTTATCAACCAAAACTGGAGAGCTCTCAGAATTCACTGAATATAAATGCATGGTTTAAAAAAAAAATTATGATCAAGAATCAAGAGTTTTGTTTTGTAAACATTTATTAATATACAAACAAACGTCACATGACTAACATTCTACCATGGTAACTTGTCTATGGAGGTCACTGAGAGAGAAGTGAAGAAAAGCAGTCCTTTTAGTGGCTTTTTGCCTGGACAAAGTTTGTTCAAATTTCTTGTTCCTGTTGAAGTTAAGTTCTAGCATGAGGTATGAACAAGTCTAAGAAATCTGAGACAACTGGCTAATGTGTCCAAAGATGTCAGGATCCTTCTTATATTGCAAAGAAAAACAAATGTTAATCTTGGCAGGGTAAAAGGGAGGAGGGGGCAGCGTCACTTGAAGAGTGACTACTCATACTTAGCATGAGTTTCTTTAAATGTTACTTCACTCATCTTAACAAGTCTATTAGGTAGGTATTATCCCCATTTTAAATATGTTAATTTGAGGTACAGCGAGGTTCAATGGACTAAATTTGACTTGTTTTAATTCCAGGTATCCCAAAGCCTATAGTCGTTCTGACAGCCACAAAATGGCAATGAAGATCACTTAAGAAGCCTTATTAAACTACATCCAATTCTGACAACTAGGAGGCACACCAGAATCCAGGTGTACAAGGGGTTTTGGCTGGACAAAGCTCCCTAGGTTTTTTTTTTTTTTTTAGAGATTTTATTTTTCCTTTTTCTCCCAAAGCCCCCTGGTACATAGTTGCGTATGCTTAGTTGTGGATCCTTCCGTTGTGGCATGTGGGATGCCGCCCCAGCATGGCGTGATGAGTGGTGCCACGTCCGTGCCGAGGATGTGAACCGGTGAAACCCTGGGCCCCCGCAGCAGAGCACACAAACCCAACCACTCAGCCATGGGGCCGGCTCCTCCCTAGGTTTTTGTGACTAACGATTCCCTCAACCTTACCATTCTGGGTTAAAACTTGACCTCTCTGTCTGTGGTTTCACAGTCACTTGCAACATGAAGCTAGAAACAGCTTTGGCTCAGAGGTATGAGAGCAAAATAAAACTATAACAAATCTTGAGTAAATAAAGCTAACAAAAAGGAATTCCTTACCTTGATGTTGTTTTCTTTTTGAAAAAATAAACAGACAAGTAAAAGTCCCGTACTGCAGCAACGTATTCTCCCTGGTATTTCAAACACAACATTCAAAAAATTGTCAACACTCTTTAGAAGAAACATTCTCATCAAAAAGTTAACACAGTAACAATCTTTTTAGATTACGGGTATATTAATATAAAATGACTATGCCATAGTTTAGCTATGGAAAGGATAATCTTACTTTTAAAATAATCATAGAAATTAGAAGACGAACTTAAGTCCTAGAACTAGACTCTCCAGCTTTAAGTATAATGATTTAAATTTTTTCCATTGAGGCATAATTTACATACAAAAAAACGCACTGTGTGATGTATGTGTATCTCCACGTAACCACCACCACAATAGATTTAGAACACTTTCTTCACTTCAGGAATGTTCCCTGTTCCTCTTTCCAGTCATTCCCCAAAGCCCCCACTCTTATCAGCAATTACTGATTTCTATCAATAGTTTCCTTCTCTGCCTGTTCTAGAACGTCATACAAACAGAATGGTACCGTATGTACTTTTTTGTGTATCATTAGTTCCTTTTTATAATGAAGCAGCATTCCAATGAAGGACTATACATCGTGAATTGTTTATTCTCTTGTTGATGAACACTTGGGTTACTTCTGTTTTGGAGCTGCTATGAATATTAACCATTCTTGGACATGCCACTTGTGGTCATGTTCTCATTTCTCTCCCTAGGAGTGGAACTGCTGGGCATGGTAAAAGTATGTGTTAAACTTTACTCCATATCTTGCCAACTCTCAGTATTGTTAAGATTTTTACTTTTAGCTGTTCTGGTGAATGTGAAGTGGTATCTCACTGTGGTTTTAATTTGTACTTAACTGATGACTATGATGAAGAATGATGATGTTAATGAAAATAGAGTATTCACTACTCTAAGAAATTAACCATTTTCAGATCGAAGCAAAAATAATGCTATAAAATTTAAGACTAAAGAAACACACCACCACAGTGATGTCTAGAGGCTTTTGATGGCTCTTAATTTAAAAATAATAAAGTGATTACTAACGGGACGGCTGAATAAATCACAGTATGAACATCACAGTTATTATTCCTCACGAATACTTACGTACACACTCATGCTGCAATGTTAAGTGAAAAAAAGGTAAAAAGCCTTAGGATACTAATTCAGTTTGGGAAAAATTCTTTTACGTATGTTTAGGAAAAAGTCTAGAAAGAGATTCCTTAAATATTATCACTGGTGAGATTTCATTTCTTCACTTTATTTTTAATTTCCAAATTTTCTATAATGGACATATTAATTATGGACAAGGAGGTCATATTTTTTAAAGACACATAATCTAAAATGAAAGGATTTGAGTGGCTTTTACATGGGACAGGCTAAGAAATATGATACAAATGCCAAAACACTGATATTTTTGGAACAATTAGAGGGTTTAGAAGAGCAATAAGACAGTTCATACAAAATTAAGATGGTCCTAAAAAATCTACACCATAAATACATGCTAAAGCAATGAAACAGACTTCTTAGTTACTAACAAAACTATTGTAACTTAAAGCAATATTAAATCACTATAACATAAAATTCTCAAAGGAAAGACTGTAAGAAAGAGATTTTATGCACAAAAAAGAAAACCAACAAAACAAATTTTACCTCATTTCCAAAGGCGATGTACTTGGGTGACTGGTTTATGTAATCCAAAACAAAGGAAAGCTCCTTAGACTCTATTTCTTGGCTTGATGATTTTGGCAGTTTCACTGAAACCAGCTGAAATATATCTAGCCAAAGGAAGCTATATTAATATAAACCTTCTCTAAAGAAAGTGAAGATGCGTGTTTATTCATATAAAACTGTTAATTAGTACTCTAGAATTGACTGGATGCCAAGATAATTATTCTAGGCTATCTTGAACAAAATGTACCTTAAAGTTGGACTCTTCATTTGAATACACAAATTTTAATGGAAGTTCTAATTCCACAACTCATATATATTCATGCTCTGTACATGTAGAAATAGAAGACAATTTATCTTACTGGTGCATTCTACATTACAAAGTATTAAGCTGACCTTTAAAATGGAGATGGAATATGATATGCTGGTGAACTGAGCAGCCAAAGGCAACAAACCCTGAGAGAGCTTTCTGAAATGCTATAGGCTTGTCACACACTCGTAGGATAAATCTCCTTTTCTGTAACATTGACATGCTCTTCTCTTTACATTCCATTTAAAAATTTCTCCCCAAGGGGAAATAGTTATATTTTACTATGCTATCTCTTTATCCTCCTAGGCTTTATAATGAATATAAAATTCTGTAACACATTGATCTACCACTTTCCTGTTTTCCAGCCTGCTTATTATATGCCCTGAACTCTTGATTCTTCTGGCCTTCTCAGTCATCTCAAACTTTACATGCCCAAACCCTGAACTCTTGATTTCCCTTTTCAAACTTAGTCTTTCCCCATTTGACCCTCGTAGGAAATGGCACCACCATTAACCCAGCTTGTTAAACTAAATCGTTGAGTTGTCTGACTTCTATCATATCCCACATCAAACCATCAGCAAATTCTGTTGGTTGTATCTTCAAAAGATATCCAGAATTCAATCGTTTCTCACCACTTCTGCCACTACCAACTATCTAAAGCCATGATCACGTTTCATATTCTATGTTAGGAGCAATGGCCCCTTAAACCTTCTCCCTACTTGCATGGCATGTCCCTTTAGTCTATTCTCAACAAAGATGCCAGTGATTCTATTACGACTAAGTCAGATCATGCCACTCTTCTGCTCAAAACTCCTCAATGGCTTTTTACCTACTCATAGTAAAAACCAAAGTCCTTCCAATGGCCTACAAAGCTCTATATTATCTATTCTCCCTTGGCTTGGCTAACTCCAATCCAGCCTCCCTGCTATTCCTTGAGCACACCAGGAAATGCTCTAGAATATGCTTTTCCAATACAGCTGCACAGCTTCTTCTTCCTCTCAGAACTTTCCCTGACCACTTACTTAATACGTATTTCTCCAATGTTGCCTATCCCCCTCTCCTGCTATATTTTTCTCTAAAACACCTTCTATCTTATTGTATCGTATGACTGATCCAGTGGGCTTACTGTTGAGATTTACTGTCTGTTCTATTCTCTGCAACCAGAATAGTATCTGGCACAGGGTAGGTCTTCAATTAGCTGTTGAATGAATTAATTACACATAATCAAGAAATGATACTATACAGATACCATGTAAATAAAAGATTAATTTGTTTTTAAACCAGAGAAACATACTAATAGGATTTATACAATTTTCTACCAGACACTCTGGTTTTGGGCTGTGGAACAAAGATGAAATAAATGAAGAGAAGAGATACATTTATATGCATTTTATGAGACGCTAGTCACAGGGACTCCTTCCAAGATCAGTTTTCTAATCTGGCTTGCACATTAGACTCAACTAGGGAATACGTAAGTAAATAGTCAGGGTCACACTACAGAGAATCCTACATTTTAAGTTCCTTGGAGTGATTCTAACGTGCAGCCAGTAAGCCAGAGAGTTACTGGTCTCAGTCATATGGATAAAAAGTTCTGCTACAGCTATTGGAAACTATCCTTCCAATTGAGGAATCGTGGGTAAGTACAGAGTGGTTACTAAATGTGAGTGATGAGTAGAATCAGCCGGAGAGATATGAAAAAGGCAGATTCCTAGACTAAATCTTAGACCTAGTGCATCACTTCTCAGTTAGGGACATTAAGAATCTGCATTTTTTGTAAGTATGTGGATAGACATTAAGAATTCACATATTCATATACAGAACAGAACCTAAATATTGAAGAGTATTAAGTCATCTGGCAAGGTGACAATTATTTTAAGAATGTTATCATTTCCAGACATTTTTTGGAATGTCCTTTAGAGGTGATTTATGGGCCACATAAGAAAACTAAACTTACTGATTTTTATTGCTTCATGTCACTTTTTTTTTTTTTCTGCTGAGGAAGATTTGCCCTGAGCTAACGTCTGTTGCCAATCTTCCTCTATTTCGTATGTGGGTCACCGCCAGAGCATTGATGAGCACGTCATCTATCACTGATAGACGACACTAGTGGTGTAGGTCGGTGCCCAGGAACTGAACCCGGGCTGCCAAAGTGCAGCGTGCTGAACTAGTGCTGGGGCTGGCCCTCACGTCATACTTTTGATAGATGAAATACTACTCATCAAAGACTGGGCACCAAATGAGTTTTGCCTAAAAAATCAGATTTAGCTTTCACAGTTTTGACTATTCTAAGATAACTTAAAAGTCCACGATCTCTAACAAAAACCAACCAACCAACCACTACGGGAAAAATTCACTTAGCTAATGAGCTGTGAGCCAGTCTAGCTGACTGCCAGTAACCATCTTATAGTTGCTTTAAACTTTACAGACCGAATACAACTATATTTTATAGAAGACACCACAGGGTGCAGCAGGAGTTTTGAATTTTGGAATTAGAATAATTCTTTGGATCTATCTTTCACGTCAATGTTCTGATGTATGAAATTCTCTGCTAAAGGATAATTATTTTTAACTACTGAAGACACCCCAGGAATTCTAAAATGCTCTGAAACACGGCAATTTCAATGGAATGATGTTCCAGTGATAATGAAAACACAATGATTTAGTCATACTATTATCACACTAGTATCAATCTGTTTTCTATACCATTTCTGACAGATTCAAGATCAACAAAAGAGAATACCATTCAAGGATGGGTGCAACAACAGTGATGCTTAAGAATGACAGATTAAGTTCAGTAGGAAGACAAATTCTAGCCAACCTCTGCAAAATAGCGTTAAAATTGGAGCCCTGCAGTCTCCTGGTTACAACCATATATAAAGTAATCATTCCCTCACTGCATAGTTCAGAAGCGATATGAAGCCTCCTCAAAACGAATGTAATAACAATGAAAGCAATTTAATACCAACTCCAAAAACTGCTAACTTTAGACTAAATCCAAAATGTTAAATTTTGAGAAACTAAAATGTAAGGAGCCACTCAATGCTATACAAAACAAATTATTTATACTATACCTGGTTTTTCTTTATTTATTGTAACAAAGACAGAATCTTCAGCACGAGCAACAGTAAAGAGGGCATGAAGTTTATGTCCAACTATGAAAGTCTGAAAGATAAAAAGGATCCTACTGTTTACTGTCTGCCTGCCATCCCCCGACCCCTGCCCCAACTAGAACATAAGTTCCATAAAGAGTAGGGGTGTTTTTATCCATTTTGCTCACTGCTGTATCCCCAACATCAGAAGAGTATCTGGCCTATAGAAGATACTCAATACATATTTGTTGAATAACTTTTCAAGTTAGTACATATAGGTCTTCCTGTTTCTTTTTAATGGTTGTATAGTACTCTATTGAATGAATACCAAATTTTAACTGACATCAAGGTTATATTCAATTTTTTTCTCCCATAAACAATGATGTGAGAACTATATACACGTGCCATTAATTCAATAAGAGATTTCTAAAGGTGAGACTGCTGGAGAAAAAGTTATTTTTTCACTTTCAGTTTTACTCTCATTGACTTTGAACAAAAGTGTCAGTTCTCTTCACTTCATGCTATCTTTAAACTACATTTTACATTACACTTTACCTATCACTAGATTTTTTTCTAAATCTGCAATTTGGCTAAACTGATAGAGGAAAATCCTGTCTCATTTGTTTAAAATTACATTTCCTTAATTATTAATGAGGTTAACTATCTCTTTATGTTTACTGGGTGCTGTTTTTTTTCCTGAGTATTATATATTCCTACCCTATGCCAATTTTTTCCACTGGGTTATTAGTTTTTTCTTTATTGGTTTTTGGGGATTTTTTTGTACATTAGGGATAATATCTCTTACAAACATTTTCTTCCGTTTTATTGCTCATCTTTTTGTTAGAAGTTAGTCAAATTTGTCTTTCTTTTATGGTGTGTGACTTGCAAAACTTGTGTAGGAAGGCTGTCTAAAGATTATGCCTTACGGAAAGGATCAATATATCTGTAATTATGTTGTCATTCCCTTTCACATAACGAAAATGAAAGATCAATCCACGTACCTTTATCAAAATGCCATCCACATAGTCCCACAGTTTAATTGTGCCATCAAAGGAACAAGAATATAACTAAAAGGGTAAAAACAGTACAAAATTGATTAAAAAACAGAGCTCCATTAAGACAGCCACTGAGTCATTCCATGCTGATACCGAAGACATTTTCTGTTTATTAATTCATTGCTGGCCTTAAAGAAGTGGGGTCATTTACTTATACTGTTTTTGCAAAAGAGACAATCTTATCATAGCTCTTTTGAGGAAGCAGATCCATCAATTTCAAATTTTCAGCAAAATGGGGGGGAAAGTCAACCCTCTATCTTCAAGAGGCAGATGGTAACGTACTGAATTGTGAAAAGCACTTAAGAGCTTTTGCTATTTCTCCCAGAGTCTGGTCAGTTTTAACAGCAGAACCGTGTTCATCTTACATGGGTATTAAAGGAGTGCTTCTCAAATGATCTGAGACCGTCTTGGTTTTTTTTTTAATTCTCAACCCATCAAAGACTAATACTTTTGTAATATACAATAGAAGTTATTATGCACTTGGATGCTGTGGCAGTGTCAAAGTGCTCTAAGTTTTGGGACACTCAATTTCTATCCTTATCTCATTGCAGACTGATGACAAATAGCTTACGGCACTGGTCTGTGGACCATACTTTGGTAACATCATAAGGCCTCAGCAACATGTATTTTTATTTTTTTTTGAGGAAGATCAGCTCTGAGCTAACTGCTGCCAATCCTCCTCCTTTTGCTGAGGAAGATTGGCCCTGAGCTAACATCCATGCCCATCTTCCTCCACTTTATATGTGGGATGCCTACCACAGCATGGCTTTTGCCAAGTGGTGCCATGTCCGCACCCGGGATCCGAACCAGCAAACCCTGGGCCGCCGAGAAGCGGAACGTGCGAACTTAACCGCTGCGCCACCAGGCTGGCCGGGCCCCGTATTTTTATTTTTATCCCAGTGGACTTAGTTTTGGGTTTTTTGTTGCTGTTATTGTGAAAACACTTTGCTTATAATGTTTATAAAGAATTTTAAGGTTTTTGAATGAAAGTGGTAATTTTAAGATTTCTGCCAATGGGGACATGGAATCAGAGAATAGAAATAAAAAATGATGAAGTAAGAAAGTATCTACCCAAGTAAAAGAATTAAAGTAGAAAATATCATAACTACTACATATAACATAAGAATCATGAACATTGATTAGTAAAATATGACAAGGCAAACACATAATCACTGTCAAAACAATGGTTAATTCACAAATACTGTGACTCTGAAGTCCAGAGCATCTGCACTGCCCACTACCTCAATCAAACCTGTAGATAACACAGCCCTCCTCTAATTTTAACTTTCGGTCACCAGAAATAGATCTTTTACACAATGTATATGTTGTTTTTTGTTTTGCTATAAAAGTCATATAGACTTCATAAATTCCAATTTTAATGAAAGGATATTTTTGCTATCAAAGACATTCAAATGCTACATGTAACAATAAACTGTTTTCTCAAACCCTCAGAAGACGGCAAGGAAACAATGAGTGCTTGGGGGCCAGCCCCGTGGCCTAGTAGTTAAGTTCAGTGCACTCCGCTTTGGTGGCCCGGGTTCAGTTCTCGGGCACGGACCTGCACCACTCGTCAGCAGCCATGCTGTTGTTGTGTCCCACGTACAAAAGAGAAGACAACTAGCACAGATGTTAGCTCAGGGCAAATCTTCCTCAGGAAAAAAAAAATACGTGCTTGGATCCTGCAGAAAAGCTACTTAACTTTGATTTTCAAGAGAAGCTCACTGAATTTTAGAAAGGAAAGATCACTGTTGCTTTATGCCTCACTTCCTTTGTGATAACACACTGGGTGGCAATGCAAATCCATTCTCATATCAAGCAATAACTTCTAAGTTGGTTGTGATTAATCCAGAAAAATGGAACTTCATCAAAAACTAGAGCAAGAGTAGAATGTTTTTGAGATAACTCTTTCGTAGATGCTGAAACTTAAGGACAGGATTAAAATGACATTTTATTATTCTTGAATTCTGAGAAACAAGAGCTGCTTTGTGAGGGCAGTGAGGAAGCTGGGACTAAACTCGATTCCTAAATTTGTCCTGAAATTAACTGGTCAATCTAGACTAAAGAAGCCCTTCCTCTTATCTGGAAACTGGCCTTAAGATTAGGTAACACCTGCATTAACACTAAAGAGCCTCACCTGTGAAAGAACAGACCTACTAAATCAATACCTCTCAGCCAACCTTTTCACAAATGTGTTCCAAAAACCAAAGGATTCAAGGGCATATAAGTTGGAGAAAGAACACATACTATATATCCATTTTGGATATTCACAATGCATATAAAGAGATCTGAGAAAAACTGCAATCAAGAAATTCATTTAACTGTGCTTACTGCTGAATTTCAGAAACTCATACAGCCAAGAATGCTTCTTTCAAGTAACAACTATTAGCATCGTGTGAAACAACTGGTTCACAGAGCGTACCATGAGCAATGTAGTTCTAGGCTGTGCCCCTATTTTAATAGCTAAAAGTAAGTGAAAAATACCCTGAATCAGAAAATCAACATATTTTCCTGATTATAACCTGGAAAGTTTCCCAGCCAAATTCAATTCATAATTTTCTCACAACAAAGTCAATATTAAAATATTCAGTATAAATCATTTTGACACCTGTAGATGGTTGTTGGGGTTGAGTTGGATGCCAGTCACCAGATTTCTGTGCCCTTGCAATATGTGTACACATTCTTCTGTAGCTGTGCTATAAACTTTAACAAAGTCTCCAGAGACACAGAAGATATACCTGGAAATAAGAGAAAAGTTTTATGCTCCATAGACAGTATAATCTTTTTATTGTCCATGAAAATAATTTTAACTTCCAACAGAGGTTTCTTTCAAAACAATAGTTTAAGAACTGTATACTCAAAATTGTGTGCTATGTATTCACTTACTATCCACTACTACTCTTCAGTGGTTCTGCTAACAGCAATGTCTTCCCACATCCCCAACTCTCCATTGTTCACTGGGGACACCAGCTTACAAACACTAAGTCAAAGGTTCTGTCTAGTCGGTGAGGTCTCTTGTATAGCAAATTACGAAGACTTTGTGACAGTTCTTTTTCTTGTTGCTGAAATGCTGGTTCTGCTTTTGTCTTTCTGCATTTGTGGCTTTATTCCACAAAGCAGAGGCTATTAAATTATTAAAATTAGTTAAGGTGGGGTACTAGTCCTCTGACAATTTTCACAATAGATGTAACTACAGGACAAAGCTCAGAAATATAAAACTTTTAGTATCTATCAAATAAAACATGTTTACTTTGTGCCCATTATGTCTAGCATTATATGTATCTACCACGGTGTTTTTCCATACAGTGTAGAAGGTACGAAACCACAGAATCCTTAGGCTGTACATCTTCTCTGTGCTCCCAAAGCACCCTGTGCTTGACTTGATCCTAATACTTTTCACACTGTGTTCAAATTACTTGTTTATGTTATATCCACCTCCCTTAACTGGCCCTAAGCCCCTACAGGGCAAAGGCCTTAATTTATCTTTGATTCTCAATGACCAAGTCTGTTGAATAGAATTTGCCTGATCCTCAAAGATTTTATAAACCAACTGGATAAACTGAACCAATAAAAAATTATTACAAAATAATAAGAGTCAGTCTTCTGATGTTGACTTGCTCCTACGCTATTTTATCAATTCTAAGATACTTGATTTTTCACAGGTTCACCTCTCTGAAATCAGGATGCATCTTGTAACTGCTATAGCTAGGAGGAGGTCAGGGCCTGGTTGTGGCCAACTGTCTAAGAGACCAAGAAAGTACAAGTAGCGAAGCATCTGAGATATATGGTTTCCCCTCTGGCTGGATCCTCCTCTCCATTCCCATGAGTGCTGTAGTTCAGTCTTAACATCTCCAGCCCGGACCACTCTTATGCGCTTCCTACAGTCTCCAGGTGTGGCCCTTCAATTCGTCTGTCACACATAACAGACCATTTACAAAACTGACCACATCACTTCCTTACGTAAAGAATGAATTAAACTAAAGTCTGTCAATGTTTTCCTACTGCCTTCAGGATGTGATCCAAACTCACTATCCCAGTCTGACCGGAACCACCTTTTCACTTTAACACGGTATCAAGTACTTCACAACTCCAACAGCCCCACTTGAGCCCTGATGCATCCCATCAGTATTAACAGGTCCTTCAGGCAGTGTTTCCTTGATAGTGTGGGCGAGGGGGTACTGTTTGCCAAGAAAACTCCCCTAACGGACTCTGATGTCCTTCCCCAAAGGAAAGGAATTTCCTTTCTCTTCATTTGAATGCAAGCCCCTAAAGGAAACTCTCTCCACGCTTTTGCACATTCTGCTTCTACATAGAACACTCCTTCTTTCCGACTACTTCTTTAAGATAGATTCAGCTCAAGGTAAGCCTTCCCTCATCTTCATTCCAGATCAGCACCCACCCTAATGTGCTTCCACAGGACAGTGGGCTTAACTATTACAGCACTTACCACAGGGCATAATGAAGGACTTCCCTCTGCAGACTGTGAGCTCGCGGGGAGGAACTGTGTGTTTACTAATTTTAAATACTAATAGAAATATGGTATGGTAGAAAAGAATGTATTTTTAAGAAGTGAGACAGAAATGGGTTCGAATGCCAGCTTTACCACATACTAGCTGAACGACGTTGGAGAATTTCCTTAAGCCTCCTAAACCTCACTGTTCTCCACTGTAAAAGGCAGATAACACTTCCTCATAGGGTTACTATGAGGACTAAATGAGACAATGCATGTAAATGCAAGCTTAGCACACACAGAAAACACTCAATAAATGCTTCCATAAAATCAGGATACACCTAGACCCCGCCAAGAGGAATGCATCTAGAGCACCCACCACAATGCCTGTCACACAAGACTCAGTCACCTTTGTTGACAAAGTGGAGAAGTAAGAAGCTAGGGATGCTCTCAAGTAGAAACCTGTATTTAAACGGAGCTCTGAAGGATGCATGATTTAAGGGCTGGGAAGGGAAAAGAATAGCAACATAAGCAAAAGCAAGGAAATAATAATTAACATGGTACCTACAAGAGACAGGGAATGTAGGTGTCTAACAAGCAAAGTGTGCACAAAGGGTACTATGAGGAAACTCAATTGGATAAACAGAGCTGAGCGAGGTCAGGGAAGTCCCTGTAGGTCAGAGAAGAGCTGTAGTTAAGGAAGGAAACAGAAGACTGTTACAGGGCTCTGAGCAAGACTGAAAAATAAGGGTTAGGGTAACAATGTTATGACAGTAGTAACACTTTAGGAAAATTATTACAGAAGCAGTATCCAGAATGATCTGCAAGGGAAAACTATTTAGAGTCAGGAACATTACCTTTGTGATAATTTAGGAATCAAAGAGGTAAGAATGATCCATTGTTTTAGTTTTCTATATGCTAGCAACCTAATACTATAATGCACAGCACCACATAACTGTAGGAGGTAATAGGATGTGATGCAAACTGTGCTGGACCGGGAGTCAGTAACATCTGCTACAGGAACTCCAGGAGCTGTCACGCACACCCGCCTCTCCTAACCACCATCACAAGCAGGCAGAACAGAGTTTCTACCCTGGTTCCAACAGGACCTAGTGACCAAGAAGAAGCTGCTAAAATTCCACGATTCTGTCATTTTATTTACAATTTCAGCTTTCTTAATAAGCTCCTTGAGATAAAATAAATTACCTTATTCTTCTTTGTATAAACTAGCTAACCCCTAGTGGCACTTTTTAGATAACATTCAAATCCTTGATGAGTTCCTTATAATCCTGCTAATTTGCTGGAGAACTGGTTTTAATCATTAGCTTCTATATAGATGACCAAGAAAGGTCCATCTCTCTAAATCTTCACCAAGTTCCCCAAACTTCAGTTCTGAATTTCTACCTCCTACTTACTACGTCCACCTGGTTGTTTTACAAGTACCTCAAACTTCAGCAAGCCCCAAAGTGAACTCAACGTCTTCCTCTCATTCATTGAAATGCTAGATTACTTTCAAAGTCTGTCTTTTCTCTTCATCTTCAATATTATCTTAGTTCAGGTCAAGCATTTCTGCTCGGATGCCTGATCAGCCTTCTAAGCCCTGGTCTCTACTCTTCCACACTCTTCTCCCATCACTTCCCTCTACCTTATGCTGCAGTGATACTGACCCATGTCCATGACACCCCTCCCACCCCCTACCCTTCCAGACACTCACTGTGCCTGGATGCCCTCCCCCAATATCATTCCAGTTAGTCTTGCAAGATCCTACTACTGAAGGGAAACTTTGACTATGTCCCTCCCTCTTCTGTGCCATCAGGGTACCTTGAGCATGCTAGCCTACTCACCTCTCATCTATCCAACACGTCATATAGTTTTATACATAGTTTTCAGATTAATATTCTTGAAGAAATAATCATGTTACCCCCTCCACCCTTATCTAGAGAATAAAAAAATACGCTCTCTTTGGACCAAACAACCAAGAACTGGCTCCAAGTTCCCTTTCCAGTCTCATTTCCCACTAGCTCTCTTCATATACCATTCCTACCAGCTAACTATACCAGTCTATTCAATATAAGCAGGATTGTACTCCTCTTGCTTACACTGTGCCCCCTACAGAATGCCTTCTGTCCACATCTCCTAGTCAGAATATCACCCACCTGTCTAGGCCTAGCCTAAATGTCACTTCCTCAGCAACCTTTCCCATCCATACAAGTCTGATGTTCCTTCTCCTTCTTATGAACTCCCAAAGTATATCTGCTACTGAGAATTTTCTTTTCCTCTCTAGACTGTAAGCTCTTGAAGGTAGGATCAAAACTGGAATTGTCTTAGTTTTTGTCACCTCAGCTTATTATAAATAATACATAGCTGACAAATACTTAAAAATGAATTGTAGAACTTAGCAAATGAAACAGTGTGGATCTCAATACAATGAATAAGATGTACAAACAGTACACTGTTGGAAGAAACTGGATACCTAGATATAAGTCCAAAGTGGCAGAACTTTGGCAACCTCTTTTAGTTTCAGTTTTTCCCTCTAATTCATTAAAATGAATATCAACAAGACCTCTTTACTGGAAAGATCAACCATTCCCTTTTTTTTTGCCTCTAAGGCAATTTATCAAAGCTCCTTCAGTCACACATGCATTCAATAACTCTCTGCCATACACTCAGAAGCAAGATATTATGGGGGACACAAACTTTCTTAAAATATTATCTCCACTCTTCCAAGATAGAAAGGCTTTTCAATAAGTGTCACTCTACCCTTAAATGATTTGAAAACCTTGTCTTTCTACAACGTGTCACTTCTAGGTGATGCTGACAATATAGAAATGATGATGATAGCCAAAATACACTGAGTCATTAAGCGCCAGGCACTGCTTTCCGCACTCGACATATACTAAAGCATTTAATCCTCAACAACCCTATGAGATGAATTACTAAATGTTACTCCTGTTTTATAGACGAGGCAAGTGAGGCAGAGATTAAGAAACTTGCAAATGTCACAATGAAAGAACCAGGTTTCGAACCCAGGGAGTAGTTTGGTTTTCAGCTACATGAACTCCTGAGGAGGGGCCACGACTTCTATATGTTTTCACCCCGCACAGAATCTAACGGTTTCCACGCAAAGCTCCAAAAAGGTTGCTGAAATGCCTTTCTGGTAGACAGGACAGTGTGGAGAAAGCGAAATCTTGAATCGTTCAGTAATCCCAACTCACGACTCCGTCCGAAAGAAGGATGGGCCTCGGGGTAGTGCGACTGCAGTGGCGTACACATCCACGCCTGGACCATCTTCCAGCCGTCCCAACGCCCAGCCGATTCTAGACACGTGGGCCCGCCCCCCGGGGCCCCTCAATCTACCAGCAGGTGACAGTCTGGGGAGGGGACGCGCGCCCCAGGGTGCAGTGCCACGGGCCTGAGGGGTATCTCCCTCCTCACACAGCACGCAGACACCCGCTCCGTCCCGCGTGCCCGGGGGTGCCCGCATGCACCCTTTCCCGAGCCAAGATCCGCCCCCGAGCGAGTCCCGACGCGCCTGACAGTTCTTCCCCGCGGCTCCGGGGAGAGACCACCCTCGGCCCGGTCGACAACGCCTGGTGGCCCCATACTTAGAATCCGCAGAGAACACCGCTCTCCTAAAGTTCAACTCGCTGCCGCCACAACGAACCACGCGGACTCTCTCCTGCTCCACCATCTTCGCGCAGACGCAAAACCTCGCGCCCGCGGGCCCCGCCCAAAACTTCCTTTACGGAGGCCGGGTGGGAGGGCGCTCGTCCCGGACGGCGGAACACACGCACGGGCTCCTCTAGGCCGCGGTCTCGATGGTAGGACCCAGAGCCTTTGCCGCCATCTTTCGTTCGGGCAACGTCAAATTAGGATACACGTGAAAAAGGTAAAAGCGAAACAGAGACATAGAGACAATGAATTTATACTAAATGCCTCTGAACTCTTATTTAGTACAGATAAGTTTCTCCCTGGCCTTGTCAGTCTGACTGTATAGCCTCTTCCGCCAGAAGGGAAAGGAGGCTCATGATGTGTCACGTGACCTGAACCCCGCCGCGCCCCGCCCCGCCTCTCCTCTCCTTTGTCGTAGCTGTGATATTCGGGCGCTGCGAGATGACGTCAGTGTCTCGTGCCAACTGGTTTCTCGGGTGGAAAGGTAGCCTTCTACTTTTTACACAGCTGTTTGTTCCTCTCGTTAGCCGTCACTTTGTCCTCGTCCTCTGAGCACAGTATACGTTCCTACAGAATCTCCGCAGCTCCGAGAGCCTTGCTTTTCCCTTTGGACCAGTGGCACCTACTCCGGGGTTCTGGTGCATCCCTGTCTCTCCGGAGCTGCTCGGGCGGAGTTGACATTCAGCCCCACCCGGCCAAGCTCCGGGCCGCTGCTCCCTGGTTTGCGACTCGTTGATTTGTGCGTGTTGCCTTGGTTTTAGCTTCCTCGATTAGTCTACGGTGCCAGTGGGTTAGGAAGCCCTGAGCTCAGAGAATGTTTATGCTTCTGTCACCATTCATTTGTATAAAGTTATGTGTATAATTTTCGTGGTCCATGTATATTAGGGAGTGCTTGTCTTTATTCATTCAGTAAACCTGTACCGATGCCCCTTTGAGCCAGGTCTGTACCGCTGCTAAGGGTAAAGAGTCACCGACTGCTTAACTCTAACAGGAACAGGAGAGAGATCTGCTTTATACGTGTCACTCCTTGATGTGTTAAAATTTACTACATCCCTTCAGTCTTTCTGGAGGCGAATAATTATTGGGAACTTTCTATACGTGAGACACTATGCGAGACAGACGTGATCCCTGCTCTGTTACCTTCCATGGGAGGGAAGATAAAAATGTTTAACAAAATAGTTACAGATTGTGTGCTGAAGAGAATAAAATAGTAATGTGAGAGAATAGTTTTCTCTGAGGAGGTTTAGGTTTAACCTGATGAATATGTGTTTGGTAAAGTTGTGCACGTAAAAAACATATTTTAAAAGTTCAACATTAATACAGATTTGATGTAAAATAATTCAATACAGAAATATAATTAGAATGGTCCCAGTCTATCTTACACCCTTACACTTGTGTCTCCAGCATTAAAAATTTGATGTATACGCTTCCTGATATTTTTTTAGGTATACGTGTATCTTAACATTATTCTTCAATGTAGTGCACTGGGTATCCTTTTGTTTCCTCTCCCTATGTGCTTTCACGGTAGTGTATACAAATCTCATCTTTTTAATGACTAGGTAGTATTTCATAGAGTCAATGTGCCATAATTGATTAAATCATTCTCTCAAAGGTGGATATTTAGTCGTTTTCATTTTTTTAAAGTGGCAGATAGTGCTACAGGACACATAAATTTGTGACAGTGTTGCTGTAGGGCAGATTCCTAGAATAGGCATTGCAGGGTTAAAGGATATCTGCATTTTTTTATTTTGAGGGAATGTTTTGTAGAATTGAGACTTGTTACTGGGGAAACCAGGAGGAATAACTAATGGCAGTTAAAAAAGGGGAACATTTAACTTAGTTTTTTAGTCTGAAGTTTGGGGAAAATCCATAAGGAGAGGGAATATTTTAAGAGAGTGTGATTTCTAAGAAATCAGGAGGGAAAAGGATTGATGAAATGGCATAAGGGAGGTGAAATTGCCTGTGAAAACTGCATCAGTGAGCAACAACTGAAAGGTAGCAAGGGTTGGGTGGTCCATTGTTTAAAATTTAGACTGTAATGTGGAGTTTCACTTGTCAAGAATTGTTAAGTATAATGAATTATGATACTTGAGTCTGTAGGGGAGGAAGACGTTTCCTCTACCTGCTGTGGATTCTCCTGGCTGGAGGATGAATTAAATTTACATGAGACAGAATAACAGGAGAAAATTAAACAAAACTTTATAACGTGCATACATGACAGAGACTCAGGCAAGCTGAGCAACTCGCCAAAATGGCGGAAGCCCCCACCTTAAATATCATCTTCAGCTAAAGACAAAGGAGGATATTGGGGGTGGGGGGAGTCAGTTACGGGAGATTACCAGACAAATGCAGTAAACGAGGGTCAGGTTACTATGCAGATTTAAGTCCTTGCCTTCTGCATTGATAATAGTTGCTAGAGAGAAGGTCATCCCCCTTCTTCCTGTATGGAGAGGGAGACCCCTTTGCAATGTAAATGTTTTTTAACAAAGGGTAAGTAAACTCTGCTTTTCAGAGTTTCTTTCCTGTCTGCAGTTTTTAAAGTAACCAGCCCAAAATAATCCTCATGCCAAAGAGACATATCTTGGTGTGGCCAATTCCAGTCCCCTACAAGTCTAATATTTCCTTTACTATACTGACATTTGTATATTATATGTTAATTGGCCCTCAAACACCAAAACACAAAGTTTTCTAAAGTAGTTTGGAAGACTGGAAAGAATTAATGTAATATTGAAGATGATAGGAAGTGGCTAGATACAATCCACATGTGGTGTTAAGTGATGGGATACTTCCCTAGGCATTTCATAGAACAAAGCAAGAAAAGTTTGGCTTATTTGTTGGAAAGGGAAGCTGAGCATCTGACAGGTCCCTGGTTCTCTCCAGCTCTCCTCTTTTCTTTGTGAGTCCTCACCAGAATCATCTTTAAATATGCCTTCATGGCAATACTGACTTTTTCTGGCACACATCTTAAAACTTTTCCAGCCTCTATGCTTATCCAGTTCCAAAGCCACTTCCACGTTTTTAGGTATTTATTAGTTACAGCAGCATCTCACTCTTGGTACCAAAATCTGTATTGAGAGTTCTCCAGAAAAACAGAAGCAATAGGGTTTATTTATTTATCTATTAATTAATTAATTAATTAAAAGGAATTGGTGCACTCAGTTATGGAGACTGAAACCTCCCACAGTCTGCAGTCTGCAAGTTGGACACCCTGGAAAGCCCTGGAAATTCAGTCTGAGTCTGAGGGCCTGAGAACCAGAGGAGCTCATGGTGTAAATCCAGTCTGAGTGCAGAAGACTGCAGTCCCAGCTCGGCAGTCAGGTAGAGAAGGAACGAATTCTCCATTCCTCCTCCTTTTGTTCTATTTAGGCCTTTAATGGGCCCTGAATGATGCCCACCCACATTGGGGAGGGCAGTCTGCTTCACTGAGTCCACAGATTCAAATGCTAGTCTCATCTGGAAATACCCTCGCAGACAAACCTGGAAGTAATGTTTAGCCAAATACCTGGGCACCCCATGACCCAGTTAAGTTGACACATTAAATTAAGCATCACACCAGGCAACCACCGATCTGTTCTCTGTCCTTACAGCTTTACCTTTTCCAGAAAGCCATATAAGCAATATTCTATAGTTTGTGACCTTTTGAGTCTAGCTTCTTTCACTGGGGTAATGCATTTGAGATTCATGTTGTTGTGTAGATCAGTGGCTTCCTCTTTCTTACTGCTGAGTGGTTTTCTGTTATATGGGTGTTCCACAGTTTGTTTATTCATTCTTTTGCTGAAGGATGTTTTTGATTTTCCCTCAGTTTTGGAAATTATGAATAATACTGCTCTGAACACTCATTTGTAGGTTTTTGAGTGAACGTAAATTTTTATTTCTCTAGGTGAGATTGCTGAGTCAAATCATATGTTTCCATTTTTAAGAAACTACCAGACTGTTTCTCCAGAGTTTCTATACCATTTTGCATTCCAGTCGGTAATATATAAAAGTTTTAGTTGCTTCACATCCTTGTCAGCACTTGGTGTTGTCAGTATTTTTTATTTTAGCCATTATAATAGGTTTATAGTGGGATTTCATTGTTTTTATTGTCATTTCACTGATGACTGATGATGTTGGGCATCTTTTCATGTATTTATTTCCTTTTTGTATATCCTCTTTGGTGCAGTGTATTCAAATCTTTTACCCTTTGTTTTATTGGTTGGTTGTTTTCTTATTGTTGAGTGTTTAGATTTCTTTATATATTTTGGATACAAGTCCTTTGTCAGATATGTAAATTGTAAGTATTTTCTCCCAGACCGTGGCTTGTCTTTTCATTCTGTTAACAGTGTCTTTCATGAAACTGAAGTTTTAAATTTTGGTGAAGTATAATTTATCAATTTTTTTTTTTTTTAGGGATCATGCTTTTGTTGTTGCATCTGAGAACTCTTTACCTATTCCCAGTTTATGAAGATTTTCTCCTGTGTTTTATATGAAAAGTTTTATAGTTTTATGTTTTACACTTAATATTTAAGTCTATGATCCATTTTGAGTTAATTTCCATTTGGTTCTTTTTTACAGCCTCTATTTCTTTCATAAAAATTTCTATCTTTCCTTTCCTCATAAGAGCATTTTTCTTACTTTTTGGAGATTGTTTTATAACCCAATTAAAGTCTTTTTCTGATAATTCCAATATGTGGGTCATCTTGGGATTGGCATCTGTTGATTGCCTTTCACTGGAGAATTACTGAGATTTTTCTGGTTCTGGTTTTGTGTGTTGAGTAATTTCAGATTTTATCCTAGACATTATGTTAGGAGATCCTGGGTCCTATTAAAATCCTTAAAGCCTTGGCCCTGCCAATTCTCAGCTGTATGCATGCACAGCTCAGAGGTGAGCCCAGTAGTTTGTGACTTAAAGGATCCCTCTCTCCAGCTCCTTTCTCTGTGATACTCTCTACATTCTTGGGCTTCATTGTCTTCCCTTGTTGATGTTCTGGTTAGAAAGCCCAGACTTTTTTCTCCCACATTGTTGCCTACTTTTCTACAGCTAGGCTTATGTTAGGGCAAAGTGGTGAGGGCAAAGAATGTAGTGGGGCCTCCACTGCCATATCGCATGCCACTGCCATTGTTATTGCTGCTGAATAAATGTAACCTCATTGTTGGATCTCATCTGGGGTGGAGCCAGGAGAATCAAAAGAGCTCCATCTCACAGGGGCCACCGCTCCCAGGTCGGGGTAGAGGAGAGGGAGAGCGTCTTCATTTCTGTCACTTGCTACCAAGCCTTCCATGGAGTCCTCATCTTTTTCTACCTAGTGCACCCACTCTTATCTAACTTTCTGAGGTCTCTGCTAGTTTACTTTGTATTTTGTTTAGGGTTTTTAGCTGTAATTCGTGGGAGAGAGAGGGCGGAGTGTCCTGATTCTGTTTTGACAGGAACTGAAAGTCTCTAAGCTAACTTTTTAGCAAGACCACTGTGATACTTGTATATAAGAGACCGATGGGGGACAAGGATTGAAGCTTGAAGCCCTGTTAGGGGTCTCTTGAAATAGTGTAGTTGAGAGATGATGGTGGTTAGACTAGGGCAGTAAGAGAGGTGAGAGATTTTGAATTCTGGATATGTTTTGAAGATAAAACAAATAGTATTTTCTGATGCATTAAATATTGTATGTAAGAGAATAGGAGACAAGATGACTTCAGAGGTTAGAACTGAGACTCTTGAATATTGGGATCGTCATGTACTATGATGAAAAGATTATGGAGTAGCGGATTCAGGGGGGGTGGAGACTACTAGGAACTAGGTATGAGCTTCTTATAAGACATTCAGATGGAGATGTTGAATAGGTAGTTGGATATCCTGTTGGAATCGAGGACAGAAATCTCTGCTGGAGATATAAATTTGGGAGTCATTGGCATATAGATGATATGGGGGAGCAATGAGACTGGCTGAGATCGCCAATGGAGTGAGTGTAGATAGGAAATAGAAGAGGTCTGAGGACTGAGTCTGAGGCACTTTTAAACTTAGAGATCAGGAAGATGAAAAGGAAACCAGCAAATGATTGGCCAGTGTAGGAAAATCAGGAGAACATGTGTAGGAAAATCAGGAGAACATGGTGCCAGGAAAGCCAAGTGAAGAAAGTATTTCATGAAGGTAGAACTGATCTTTTTTGTCAAATGTGACTGATAGGTTAAATAACAGGAAGGCAAAGAATTGACCATTGCACTTAGCAATATGGAAATCACTGGGGATCTTGATAAGAGCAGTTTTGGTGGAGTGATAGGAATGTAAATCTGATTTAAGTGGGAATAGAGAATAGAGGAGCCAGGCAAGGAAAGGGTTAGTGAGAATCTGATCAATAACTAACACGGTCTGTCAAATGTTTTCCAGATAAGGAGAAAACTAAATGCGCTGGCTTTCAGAAGTTGTCCACTCTGGTTTGCAGATGTTGCCTTCTCATAGTGAAACTTACATGGTTGCAGCAAGACCCCCTGTAAGTTGTTCCAGCTCCAAGTATCCAAAAGTTTCCATGGACCTGTTATTTAATGACACATTCCTTGATCTTCTTATGTAATGGCATGTTGCATTGAACTGGTTGTCTAATAGCCTGCACATGCACCCTGATTGAGCCAAGTGGTTACACAATTGTAACATATTCCTTTGCACTCTTGTATAAAGTCTCCACCAGCACTAGGCTTGGGGAGGACACTGCTTTGGGAGCTATCCCTGGTGTTCTTCATTGCTTCACCCACTTCAGCCTTGGTTGTGCTTTTTGGCTCTGCACTCAACCAGGAGACAAACCCATTGAGTTCAGTTACATCATCTCTCTCTTGAAAATAAAGTTTTATTGGACACAGTCATGTCCATTTGTTAAAATATTGTCTATGACTGGTCTTGCACTACAGTCTAAGAGTTGAGTAGTTGTGATAGAGATTGTGTGTCATGAAAAGCCTAAAATATTTACCATCTGGCCCTTTTCAGAAGAAGTATGCTGGCTCTTGGTTTAGGAGGTGAGAAGGGAGAAATGGAGGTTGTCCATGAAGACTGGAAACAGATAATATTATTTTATTTTTACAAACTGAGGATATAATTCAATTGGGAAGTATCACTAGAAAAGAGAAGTCTTGTTGTTGCCCTGGTAAATTTTTTCCTCATATTATCAAAATGACATCTCAAAATTTAAAAACTCTAATTAAACTTTCAGATTTCAGTTTGAGAGACTAGGCAATAGGGAATAACTTCATAAAGGTAAAAAACCCCCCACATTTTAATGACAGTTGTGCAAAATAAGCTGTAAAGTAGACTCTCAAGCCCTACCCACATAAAAATCAGCTTATACAAAACACTATATTTTTAGGGGCCAGCCCCGTGGAGAAGTGGGTAAGTTCGTGCTTTCTGCTTCTTTGGCCCAGGGTTTGCTGGTTCGGATCCTGGGTGTGGACCTAGCACTGCTCATCAAGGCCATGCTGAGGCAGTGTCCCACATAGCAGAACCAGAAGGACCTACAACTAGAATACACAACTATGTACTGGGGGACTTTGGGGAGAAGAAGAAAAAAGAAAAAAAAAAAAGAAGATTGGCAATAGATATTAGCTCAGCTGCCAATGTATAAAACAAAAACCAGAAAACACTATAAAGCACCTGGCCTTAATACATACTTTATGCCAGTTATGTCCCCAAGGTATATTCTAGCTACTTATACCAACCTCTTTACTAAATTCTCCTTACTATATATAAAAAAGTAGTTAATCTTAGCTACACATAGGAACGACCTGGGGTGCTTTAGAAAATAATGAAACCTAGTCCTGCCCCAGAAATTCTGATGTAATTTGTCTGTGGTGTCACCTAGGCATCATTCTTTAAAAATTGTTGTTAAATACTCATAACGAAGTTTTTATTAGGGTCATTGTGTACATTCACAGTGTTGTGTAACCACCACTCTGTCTATTTCCAGAACGTTTTCGTCACCGCAAGAGGAAACCTTTTACCGTTAAGCAGTCACTTCCTATCCCCCCATCAATACTAGTGTATAGAAATAAAACTGATTTTTGTGTGTTGATCTTGTATCCTGCAACTTTGCTGAATTTGTTTATTAGCTCTGGTAGTTTTTTGTTGTGTGTTCTTTAGGATTTTTTATATATCAGATCATGTCATCTGTGAATAGATATTTACTACTTCTTTTCCAATTTGGATGCCTTTTATTTCTTTTCCTTGCCTAATTGATCTGGCTAGAACTTCCAGTACAATGCTGAATAGCAGTGGTGAAAGTGGACATCCCTGTCTTATTTCTGATCTTAGGGGGAAAGTTTTCAGTCTTTCACTATTGAGTATGATGTTAGCTGTATGTTTTTCACAAGTGCCCTTTATCATGTTGAGGAAATTCTCCTCTATTCCTAGTGTGCAGAGTATCTTAATCATGCAAGGATTTTGGATTTTGTCAAATGACTTTTCTATGTTAATTGAGATGATTTTGTGGGATTTTTCCCTTCATTCTATTAATGTAGTAGATTAAATTCATTGATTCTCATATTTTGAAGCACCCTTGTTCCTTTCTAGGATAAATCTCACTTGATTATAGTGTATAATCCTTTCAATATGCTGTTGGATTTGATTTGCTAGTATTTTGTTGAGGATTTTTGTACCTATAATTCATAAGGAATATTAGTCTATAGTTTCATTTTCTGTGTATCTTTGGCTTTGATATTAGGGTAATGCTGGCCTAATATAATGAGTTAGAAATTGTTCCCTCATCTGTTTTTTTGGGGAGATTGTGAAGGATTGGTGTTAATTCTTTAATATTTGGTAGAATTCACCAATGAAACCATCTGGCCCTGGACTTTTCTTTGTTGGGAGGTTTGTGATTGCTGATTCAATCTCTTTACTCGTTATAAGTCTGTTGGAATGTTTTATTTCTTCTTCAATCAGTTTTAGTAATTCATGTGTTTCTAGGAATTTGTCCACTTCATCTAGGTTATCTAATTTGTTTGCTTATAACTCTTCATACTGTTCTCTTATAATCCTTTTTATTTCTGTAAAACTGGTAGAAATGTCCCCACTTTCATTTCTGGTCTTAGTTATTTGCATCATCTCTCTCTTTTTCTTAGTTTACCTAAAAGTTTGTCAATGAAACATTTTTTGATCTTTTCAAAGAATCAACTTTTGGTTTCATTGATTCTATTATTTTTCTATTTTTCTTATCTCCACTCTAATCTTTATTATTTCCTTTTTTGTCAATTAGCTTTGAGTTTAGTTTGCTCTTCTTTTTCTAGTTCCTTAAGGTGTAAAGTTAGGTTATTGATTTGAGATCTTTCTTTTTGGGCATCAGGGTTTTAAAAGCTTCCCAGGTGATTCTAAAATTGAAAGACTAGTTTAAAAATCCTCTTGTGTTTGGAGACTAGCTAGGCCTGGCTTACTGGTTCTCTACCTAGGCTGCACATTGGAAACATCTGAAGATAGTTTTGAATTTGAATTAGAGTGGCATTATGAATTTATGATGTATTTTATTTTTTTAAAATATATTTTGTCACTAACCTAGTAGCAATGAGTACTCTTGGCACCCAGATGTTCCTTCTAGATTCCATTTTCCACTAAAAGGAAGCAAAGCTCCTTGTAGAAATGGCTGATTTTACTGGTCTGATAACACAGATGTACAGGACATTTTATCATACCAGAAAGCAAGAGAGCTATCAAAGACTCCTGGAGTTGAGTCAAACGGACTCAGGAACCAACTTGAAGAGGGTCCCACTGAGTTGAGACATTTTGAGTATTAAAACGAATAATAATTGCAATGGATTGAAACATATATGTTATGCTTGAAGCCATGAATTCATAATGATACAAACAAAGTCACTGGTCATCTTTGGAGGGTACTAGGAAATGAAGTTATTACTTCAAAAAACTTACTTAAAAAAAGAAATTAAGAATCAGGCATTTATTCTGCCTTTCCTATATGAATTGTACCTTGGGATAACCAAGTAGTTGAGAGAGGGAACTTTCTCTTCATATAAGTATTCTAAACAGGAGGTAAAGAGTTACTGAGAGAATTATAATGTCACCATTTTGCAACCCGTACTGAGTTAATGCATTGTTAATGGCTGCTAACATCACAAAGGAACACCCAGACATTATGTGCCTCCTATGAAGTCTCTAAATTAATTTTGTAAGAGAACAGTATAAAAACTGACTGTGATCAAGTTTCTAGATCGCTTACCAATTTTCAAAAATTACAAGGGATAGAGAAAGATGATGACATTACAAGGATATGATTGGCAAAGTCAGACTGAGGAACAATCTGTAAGGCAAACAACCTGATTTCCTTAGTAAATAAATTGCAAGGAAATTTAAAAAAGAGGAATGGTGGACCCAGGGCTTAAATGAATCTTAAGACGTGTTAACCAATTACAACACGTGGACTTTAGTTTTTCCTGATTCAAACAACTATAAAAATATTATGAGTTGATCAAGGGTAAAATGGTGGAGTTGGGGTTTTTCTAGGAGAGGAGCTTATATCCAATAATAATAGTTTTATAAAACCAATAGTACAATGATCAATAGATATTTCATGGTGGAATATAAACTTCAGAGTAGTTTTAAATTTGGTTAAACTATTGTTGCTTGAGAATCAGACTATGTACTGACCAAGGTGAAAAAATTAAATCAAATGGTAGGAGAGTATTGCTTAGAATTTTCAGCCTAAGCAAAGTTCTGTAAGAAAAAGATTAACTCAGATAAAATTTAGCTCAACTGAAAGCTGAGAGGGAAAGATGGAAAAGCTGGATTCCTTACTCCAAGTGGTTAGTGAGACAGGAGGGTCAGAAAGGCAGAAGATGAACATGTGGCAAGATTAGATTGGGTCAGACAACAAGGGTAGTATCACAGGTCTCTCTCAAGCCCATTCCTTTAAAAATGTTAGAGGTAAACCAGCTGGCTAAAATCAGATTATGGGTGATACCTTCTTATCAAAAACCACTGCAATATTTCATCATAGTTAGGAATCATTTTCACATCTCTCGTGTTGGGATATGTCTTACAGTCAGTGGCGTCTGGTAATTGATGGCGCCTTAATTCACCGTCAATTGTCATTGTTTCCATAGGCTGGGTCCTGGTTGTTATTTCTGCTGACATGACTTAATACCTACACACCCTTGATATTTTAGTCAACAGGCCATTTAGGGATGTTTCTCATTCAGTGACAAGGAAGTTTTTGTAGTTAGTCAAGTCCCTTAAAAGTTACATCTTTAACAATTTTTGTTGTTGTTCAGAACTTTTAAGTAAACTTGAGGCTTATCTGATACACATCTTAGGCCCTGCATTTATCAGGAAGCCCCCATGCTTGCAAACTTCTCTCTCATTTCTATATGCTTGATTTATGCTTAATCTGAGTTGCTTGACCTGAGTGAGGTTTGGACCTAATTCCTTTGGTTCTAGTACTGCATTCTGGGAATATCTACCTTGCTCATTGTTCCCCATTGCCACATCCGAGATGGGCATTTG